CTCTAGTATCCTAAGAAAATTTCAAAAAGAAATAGCATTCATAAAATAAAAGTCTATTTTTCATTCTGCAGTTAAAAATATGATTTCAGAATCTAAAATTTTAAATAAGTATTGGAAGATAGAGTTGAATAGTCTCTCAAAAAGCAGAAAAGAGAGATTAAAAAGATGAGAGAAGCCAGGTGTGGTGGCACACACCTGTAATCTCAGCACCCGGGAGGCTGAGGTAGGAGGACTGTCTCAAGTTCAAGGTGAGCCTAGGGTACATACCAAGACACTGTCTCAAACACCCACCCGCACCCCACTACACACACAAAACAATAAAAGGAAAACAAACAAAAAAGAAGCAAGAAAAGAACAAAAAGATGAAAAGAGAAGACAAAAAAATGATATGAGAATTTCACAAACTCTAGGAACACGAGTCTCCAGCAGAGCCTGGAACTGCGTCAGTGTGAATGGAATAAAGAGAACGCAGAGGACATGCAGAAACCTGCAGACTCCCACCAAGAAGCCAGAGATCTCCATCAGTAATGACCGCACGTTCTGCCCAGCGGCCTGCGCAGCCAGGTGATGCAATCAAAATTCTATCCCCAGCTAAACTAGCAGCCGGGTGGGGGGTCCTGTGCAGCACCTGTGCCAAGGAGCTGTAAGTCAGGAACACGCAGAAGTCAGAAATGGGGGGCAGCCAGAGAGGCAGCAATGAGCAGCTCAGGACACAGAGGCCCAGGAATTGCTAGAAATGAAGGAAGTGCTAGTGAGAACACGGAGTTGTGTGAACACAGGATGCCACAGCAAGCAACACTTACAGAGAAGCAATGGCACTGGCTCCTCTAGGCTTGTTTCAACTTCTTCAAAAGTCCCCAAACTTGCCGGCCATGGTGGTGCAATCCTGTAATCCCAGCACCCAGGAGGCTAAGGCAGGAGTCACGGGGAGTTCAAGTCCAGCCTTGGCTACATAGTGGGTTCAAGTCCAGCCTGAACTACATAGCGAGACCCTGCCTCAAAAAAAGGGGCCAGGCCAGGGATTTAGCTCAGTGGTTTTGCTGCCTGCTGCTCAAGCACAAGGACCCAAGTTTGATCCCCGGTACCAAATAAAAAGGGAAAATTCGGTGTGGTTTTTTTCATTGTTTGTTTAGCTTTAAGGTGCCCTGAACGTAGAATAGCGATTACTGGGGACCAGAAGTATTCTGGTGGGGAGGGGAGGGAGAGAGGCAGAGGGAGTTTGGACTCAGTGCTGGGTCTAGGAATGGATGAAAGTAGCACACTGAATCCCATTAAGATGGAAACCAAGGTCACTAAAAATCAGAACAAAAACAATGAATACCTTTCCCGTGGGGCACACTGGCCCCTGTGACACCGAGCTGTGGTAATGTGGCCACCTCACAGGCCGGGTCACCTTCTACCCGCCTCAGGACACCCACATCACACGCTGCTCGCACCTCCAGAGCTGGAGCTGAACTTCTTTCCTCTTCCATCACAGTGACACTCAGACTAGAGAGGACACGGGCCTGTGGCCTCTTGCCAGCAGCCGCCCGGGCCACCAAGCCTGCAGGTGGGAGGGTGTGGGAGCAGACCCTCCAGGCCAGTGAACAGCACAGTGACCTGAGCTGGAACCACCCCTCGGTGCTGCTTCCCGAGTACTGACTGTCAGAAACGGGGTGACAAGTTGTGTTGTTAAGACCCTAAGATTTGGACAAGATTATGCTGAAGAAGTAACTGATACACAAGGGGTGGTCAAAATAGGCAGCTAATGTTTTACATTTTTAAAAATTTCATTACAGTAAAAGACACATGACTATTAACCCCCCTCGGAATTCTCCCCCTTGTTTCCAACACACTCGTCCCGTCGTCCTTGCCACTTTCTGAAGCAGCTCTGGAAGTGCTGTTTCCTGAGTGTCTTTAGGAGGTGTGATCAAAGCTACAGCTCTGAGTGCTGCCGCCGAGCATCGTCCAGCAGAAAGGCAGGCTGGGGAAAACACGGGCGTATCCCATCCACCTTCACCAGACCTAGTACCGTGTGACTCCGGCTCTTTCCCAAAGTCACAATGACCAGGAAAGGTCAGCGTTTTGAATCGATTTGGGACATCGAGGCAGCCAGGGCAGCGCAACTAACAAAACAGGCCAAGAAGGGTTTCCAGCGGCGTTCTGTTTATTCAAGGGAAAGATGATCCTGCTTTTTATACGCCATTCCCGGAAGAACACCCTCACTCATGAGGTTTTGATTGATACCAAATTATTATTTTTTTAACACACAAGTAAATGTTACTAGTGAATGGATCGTAAAAGTTTGTTTTTGTACTGGGGATCGAACTCGGAAACTTGCGTTTATGAGGCAGGCGGCAGAACCACTGAGCTAAATCCCCAGCCCGCTTAAAAGTTTTAAACAAAACATGTGCAAAGCGAATCCAACAGTATATTTCTAAGAGGTTTAGTTTACTTCAGGGACACAATCATTAGTTTATTTTTCAAAATCTACAATTTTATTTACCTTTTTAACACCCTGAAGGAGAGAAAAAATAAGCATCTTAATAGATAAGACAAAAATCAATAAAAGTTAACATTTATTCATGGTTTTAATAAACACTTATCAAACTAGGGCTGGAAGTGCCACATGCATTGATAAAACATTCAATTTACAGTCAAGATTTTAAGGATACACTGGGGATTTAGCTCAGTGGTTTTGCTGTCTGCTGCACAAGCACAAGAACCTGACTTCGATCCCCGGTACCAAAAAAAAAAAAGATTTTTAAGGATGCTCTTCACCATTTCTCATCAAAATGATAGTAAAGGACATAGCCAGTGCCAATAAAAATTTTTAAAATAGAAAAATAAATAAAACAGATGTAAGGTTTTAATAAAAAGCAGCCAATTGTTAAAATTATTGCAAGGTGTAAGTATGTAAAAATAAATTTCATTCCTATATGCTCGTAAAAACATCACAAAATGTTATTTTTTTAAAAAAATATCTGCAGTAGTGACAAAAAGTCAAAAAGAGAGAGAATAGCTAGGAATAAACCTCACAAAAACCTGTACAAGATTTTTATGAAAAACTTCTGAAAGATTAAAAAAGACCTCAATGAATGAAAGACAAGCTGTGTTTAATGGCAAGGACACTATTGTTTTTTTAAAAATGCAAATTCTGGGGCCAGGGATTTAGCTCAGTGGTTCTGCCAGCTCGCAGGTGCAAGGTCCCAAGTTCGATTCCCATAGCAAAAAAAAAAGCAAATTCTTTCATGAATTGGTTTATAAACTCAGCGTAATTCCTGGCAAATGTGGAGGACTTGAGTGGAGTGGAGCGGGACTTGTTGACTCTAAAATGTGCATAAAGGGGTAAGACGGGAAGAATCTGTGGAAGGGGAACTCCATAGCAAAAACTATGAAAGGGCCGGGGATTTAGCTCAGTGGTTTCCCCGCCTGCTGTGCAAGGACCCAAGTTCGATCCCCGGTACAAAAAAAACAAAAAACAATTACAAAAGCTCCAGAAGGAAGGCTCTGAGTATGACAGAGCTGGACACAGACCGTGTTCTGGCCGCAGATGCCAGAAACAGCACCGGCTTTCAGGGAAACATGATAAATTTCCAGGTGGCATTAAGAAATCAACAGGAGGAAATGAACTGCATGATTAGTGTTCTGGAACAGCAGGGTAATACATTCCGAAAGACTCCACTTGGTTCCCGACACCACACCCCCTATGAAAACCAATTCCGTGTGGGCTAAGGATCTCAATATTAAAAATAAAACTTTTAGAAGAAAACGTAGGAGAGTACCTTTATGATCTGAAAGGAGGAAGAAATTTTCTCTTTTTTTTTGGTAGGAAGAAATGTCATAAACAGGATTTTTAAAGAGCATGAACCATAATGTTATATTGCTTAATACAATTAGATTAAAAGGGAAACTTTAGGAGTGGTGCTTGCCTACCATGTGTGAGGTCCTGAGTCTGATATGCAGACCAGAAAAAGAAGAAAACTATTCAAAAAAGACAATAATAGAGAAACAAGAAGGCATAATTAGAAAATAACTCAAAGTATATAAATTATAAGTGTCTGTATATATAAAAAATCCTACAATTCAATAAAAAATACCCCCTTGTAAACTGGCCAATTATACGCACAGGTAATACTCAGAAAAATAAATGTGAATGTTCAACAGACATTTTAAAACAATCTCAACCCTAGTATTTATCAGGGAAATATAAGGTAAAACACATAAGTGAGATACCATTTCATACCTATCAGACTGACCAAAATTAAAAAGTCAGACATTAACAAGAGTGGAGGAAGGGAATAAAAAGGCAAGAAAAACCACAGAAATAAATGTCCAGCAACAAAGGAATAATTTGTGATGTATTCTCATAAAGGATATTACATAGCTATTAAAATAAATGAACTAGAGCCTAGCACTTCATATAATTACATCTGAAAAGTATTTTAGCTCAAAAAAAAGTGAAAGAATGCTATAGCAATAGTAGCATCATTTATGCTTCTCTGATGTGCATTATCTCATTTCTCTCATTTCGTCCTTGCAACAAAGGAGGAACCATTATTATCCTCACTGGGCAGGGCAGGAAGCTTGCCTGAGTGTAACAGCGGTTAGAACCAAGTCTCTATTCCATCAGAAACAGCTGGATTTTAATCTGCAGGTAGTTGCAAAATTTGGAAACAGGGCTGGGGGTTTAGTTCAGTGGTACCTCATCTGCCTCGCAAGTACAAGGTCCTGACTTCCATCCCTAGTACCAGAAAAAAAAAAAGGAAACAAACTAGGCAAGGTGAGTCTACTGGCCATGTGAAGGTTTAAGCAAGGAGGAGACATTGGAACTTGGCCCAACCCATGAACTGGAGCCTAAGGCATCTAGGAGAAGTACACACATAAATGCCAGGATCCGGCTTTTTCTGCTCTCCAGCCAATGGATGTTGTGGGAGAATCCATTGCTCTGGCCTGAGCATGCCTGCACTGGGCTGACACCACCCCAGGTGACACCAGACTGAGCTGAATGGAACCTCCAGTTTGAGAAAGTTTGCTCTTACTTTCATACACAGACGAAAACACCAACTCAAAGCTGTCTTTAGAAATCCTGATGCCAATAACAATGGCTTTGGTAATCTCCACCATCCCTCATTGGCCATTTGCTGTATTCAGGGCACTGGGTTAAGCCTTTATATGCTTGGTGGCAGCGGATGCTCACTGCGACTCATGGGGCAGCAACATTTTCAGGGATGAGGAAAGCCAGGCATGGAGAATGTGTGTAGGCGTCCTGTCCAGAGCCAGTGCAGTTAATAAGTGGTAGAGCCAGGACGGAACCCGTAGCTGTCATCTCCCCAGCCTGTGACATCCAATTAAAGCAACAAGGGTTTAACTGCTTTCAATTGGAAGAATAAACGAAGACATGATACAAGCACAATAAACCAGACACCAACCTTATCATTACTCTCATGAACACCTGTCACACGCTCGCTGCTACAAAAACGCTTGTAAAATGAGGTGGCACTTAGTTCCAGGAAATAAAGTGGACACTCACAGGCGGCCTCCGGGACAGCCACACCTGACAATACCCTGGTCACGTTTTCATTGACAACAAGGTTTCCCACAAAGCGCCCTCTCCCTGATTAATTTCCGAAAGAGCCCAGAGATCTTGATCATAATAAACATAATGACCCCGGTTACGATGGCCTGGACAACCAGAAGTAGGATATACAGAGCCCAGTAGAGGCTGTGAGCTCCACTCTCCTCGCCCGCAGCCACCGGCTGGGCTTGCGCCCAGGGCTCGGAGCTGCCAGGCAAGGCGGCAGTGCCCGGGAGTCCTCCGCGGGCGCTCAGGGCTGGGGCGCGGACAGGTGCGCCCCGCGGGCTCGGGCACCAGGGGTCGCCCTCCAGCAGCGCCCAGAGCTCCAGGCCGGCGCGCGGCTCGGGGCCCCAGCACCGCGGGGGCTCGGCCCGGCCCACAACGCCCGGGTGCTGCCGCAGCCACTCGAGGAACGGCCACAGGCCGCAGTCGCAGAGCCAGGGATTGTGGCCCAGCAGGACCTCGGCGAGCCGGGACAGGGCCGCGAACACGTCGCCCGGCAGCGCCTCCAGCTGGTTGCGGTCTAGCCGCACGCGCTCCAGGGAGCTGAGGTTGCGCAGCAACGCGCGGGGCAGGGTGCGCAGCCGGGTGCCGTTGAGGCTCAGCGCGCGCAGGCCGGGCGCGGGCCCGAAGAGCACCCCGGGGAGCTCGGCCAGCGGGTTCTCGAAGAGCGTGAGCAGCGTCAGGCGGGGTGCGTGCAGGAAGAGGCCGGGCGGCAGGAGCTCCAGGCGGTTTCTCGCCAGCGTCAGCGAGCTCAGGTTTCCCAGGCGGTCGAAGGCGCCGGGGGCGATGGAGCGGATGCGGTTCCGGTCGAGCTCCAGCCGCACCAGGGAGCCCAGGCTGTCCAGCGGCCCCGCGTCCAGCGAGGTGAGCTGGTTCGAGTGCAGCAGGAGCACCTGGAGCTTGGCCTGGGCACTGAGCAGTCCCTCGGGCAGGTGCGTCAGGTTGTTTCCGGATAGATCCAGCACCTTCAGCCTCCCCAGGTTCGCGAAGAGGTTTGCAGGGAGGGAGGCGAGTTGGTTGTGGCTCAGAACGAGCTCCTGCAGGTTGGCCAGGTTCCGAAACAGGCCAGAGTCGATGGTCCGCAGTGCGTTGCCGTCCAGGAACAGCTGCTCCAGGGGCAGCGTCCTGTCCAGGAGGGCGCCGGGCAGGTGGGGGATGCCGTTGCGGGACAGCCTCAGGGTTTTCAGCTTGATCAGGTCGTCGAAGGTGCCGGGGGCGACGGTGGAGATGGGGCTGTCGGAGAGGATCAGGCGTTGCAGGACGGTCATGCCGCGGAAGCTGTCGTTGTGCAGGGCGCCGGGGCCCATGCGGAAGAGCAGCAGGTGCGTGAGGTTGGCGGGCAGGCCGAGCGCGGGGACGCGAGCCACCGGGCCGCCCGAGCACTGCGCCGCGTCGCGGAACGGGCACCTGCAGGCCTGCGGGCAGGGCCAGGGCTGCGCGCGCGGGAGCCGCAGCAGCGCGCACAGCAGCGCGCCCCGCAGCAGCGCCGCAGCGCCGCACGCCGACCCGGGGACCCTGCGCATGCTGCCGGGGCGCGGTCGTTTCCCCCGGAGGCTCAGGCTCGCTGTCCGCATACGGCTGAGACTCCTCTTCTCTCAGGGGTGCAGATCTCCCTGAGGGGGCAAAGGCATCGTTCTGCACAGCCAAGTCTCTCTGGTACTGATTTTTACTCTCAGTTTAAAGCATTGAAATCAAAGCGTTTTCAAACTAAGAAAAGCTGACACAACCAATACCCACCGCTTTATGCCAGGCGTGGCTCTTGGCATTTTACACCTATGTTCACCAAATCTTTTCGGTAGCTATGATCTGGGCACGGTTATCATCCTGAACTCAAGGACGATGACACGGAGGCCCAGAAAGGTTACGTAATTGGGGCCACAGACTGACAGCCATAAATAAGGAGCTACTAAGATGCTTAACACAAATTCACACTTGGGGTAGAATTATCTGCAAAATACACACGGTAATACTGGTCTACAAAACATTCTTTACCAAGTTAAATCCAGTGTTTCTTGTACCAAATTGTACTTCCTAAGCACGCACACAGCCTTCTGACTGTCCATACTAATTTAAAAAATATTTGCCTTACCTGAAATGGTTGTCCACCCCAAAGGGACTGAGAGGTTTGCGGCTGCGCATGTGGTTCTGCACTTTGCAGAGGAAAAGGCCATATCCCTGCGTCCTGAGGATAAGGACCTCCCCACCACAGGGCCAGCGAAGCCCTATCTCACAGGCAGGCACTCAGCGTTTAGTGGCAGTTATCTGAAAACCGAGACCACACATAACTTGGGTCTCACGGGGGAAGCCCCGGGAGCAGGAGGGAGAGGTTTTCCATAAATGGCCTGGTCTGGCTTCTCTCGTGCCGGGGCGCTTCATCATCCCAGCAGCCACACCCTGGATGGGCCGCACTGCCTTTTCACGCCACGTCGTGCCAGTTCGTCCCTTGCCTTTTGGAGGTAAGGCTAAAAACGGCTTCAAATCTCTGCCCACTGTTTACAGAAAAAGAAATGCCGAGCCAGCCGTGGTGGCACACACCTGTAATCCCAGCACTCAGGAGGCTGAGGCGGAGGATCTCGGGTTCGAGGCTAGTCTGGGCTATAGCGCGAGGCCGTTTTAACAAAATTTGTCTATTTAAAGGAGATTTACTCTGGCTGTTTCCGAGGCTGCCGTCCATCTCCACTGGGTTGTTGCTTCTGGTCCTGTCACGGTGGAGGTGGGGAGACAGACCTTAGGACATGCTTCCTCCAGTTAGGCCCACTTCCCAGTTGCCGTCACCTACAGCGCCACCAGCTGGCAACAAGCCTTCAACACAGGCCTCTGGGGACACCAACGAGAATTACACAGCAGCAGGGCATTACTTTTGTTTCCTTCTTTAAGGATGAACTTGAACACCTTTCTATAGAATTAAGGGCCACTTGTGCTTCATCTGCTGAAATATTTTGTCTCCTTTTGCTCATTTTTCTGAATACAACTGCACTGTAGGCACTCTATATTCTGGCTATTAATCGTTTTGGAGCGGAGTCATGATCTTCAGCTAGTTTTGGGCTTGTCTTCTCACCTTCTCTAAGGTGTCTTTTGATGGCCCTGAGTCCTAACAGAGGCAATGTTACTACTCTTTCCCTTCACAAACTGTGCCTCCTACAGCTAAGTCTCCCTCCCGAGTCAGAAAAATATTCTCTTATATCCCCTCAACTTTGTTTTGTCCCTCGTGTTCAGGTCTGATTCACCTGGGGCCGATTTCTGTGTATCTGGCATGTTAGATGTCAGGTGTCTGACCCCTCCATTAGGATCCGCAGCTGGCCTAACCTCCTGTATCCTCTGCATCCTGGGCTCCAGGGACGCTTTCACTCAGCCAACCCAGCCTGCCACCTGGAGAACCAGGGACGCCCGAAATACCTGCCCTCCCCAGGCACGAAGGCTGGACACAAACTTGCCTTCTCTGATTCCTACCACCATCACTCAGCCCAAGTTCTCTGTCTTTCTCAAGTGCTTTCTGCAGCCATGGTTCCTCCAGAATAACCAGATCTTACAGTCTGGGCAGACCGTAAGCCCCTGCTCTTCCTCACCCTCCTGAGGCTAACAGCGGCTCTGCAATGCAGCTGATGATGGATGGGCATCCCCAGGGTGGCCACAGGTCCATGGCACACTGTTCTTACCGTCTTCAAAAGTCCAAAGTTTAAAAAAAGGCAACGATTAGGAATTAAGCAGGAAAATAAATTCAGAGGGCAGTATTCACATAAGTATCAAACATATGAAGACAGAAAATGGAAATACTCATTTAGATTTTTATTTTAATAGCTTCAATCAAAAAAGATTTCATAAGGTTATTTACAGTGCTGAACGTACAATTATGAATGTAAGCCTTTTTGACAACAGGGTACCATTCTTGAGCAGCAATACAATTTTAAAAATATAAAGATGCAGAATCATTTCTGATAAAAAGTTACTTAAAAAAATCCAAGGCCTTAGGGAATTCACAAATCATAACAGGAAATAACTATTAATTTCATGTGCACATAATTATCAAATTTTAATACATTAAAAATATGTGTAAATACCCACGACTGTACAAAAATTAACATCCTACTTTGTTAAAATTTCCCTGTCCCCTCCCACCATAAATATACAAAAACTTATTTTCAGATATGTCAAAATTACATGCATGAAATATCAGAATGTCTTGTAATGCTTGGGTTCTGCTCTTCGCTGGATGTGCTGCCATCTCGTGTTCTGGAGCTGACTACATGAACACGGCTGTGTGATCACCATGCCTCGGAAACTATGCAGTGCTTTCAAACCGCAATGGTTTTGTTTAAATGCAAATGTGATTTGCAAAGCTTCTGAATGTAAGGATTATAAAACTACTATAAAAAGCGTTTATTTTGTTGTTGGCGTAGCCATTTTTATTCAAGCATTACTTGCAGCATTGCTTACAGCAGTCGGTGCTAGAAGACAGAAAACATAGCTACCACTATATTTGAGGGAAGGGGAAAACCTTTAAACAACCCTGAGGGAGACACACATTAAAAATCTTGGTATTTATTTAAAAAGTTAAAAAGTTACATAACATTATTTAACAATCACTGTCCTGGACATTTCTGTCCTTTAGGTGCATAAATAAAATTTAAATCAGCAATATTTATCAATCTTAATACATCAAAATAATATATGTACAGATTTTAAAATTTAGTTCTGTATACACTCAAATAATTTAAGGTAAAATTCAAAACCAAAATTACTATTATGCCACAGTGACCCACAGAGAGAACTCAGTCTGTCTATGGCACTGAGAGGGCCGAACCTGGCTTCACGGACGTCCTTCAAATGACATTCTCAACAGGACAAACCCACCCTGCCTACAACCGTGTGTTTACCTAAACTGCATTCCTCTAAAACAACATGGACAGATGAGCTACAAAGCCCTTACTAACTCTGAATGTTAAAAGCCTGCATGTGTCAAAAATAGTTCTTTATGATCATGCTCTTAAAGATGTTAAATACAATCTGATATTTGGATTTGTCAGCTGCTACTTAGCAATCACTTTAATTATATGCTTCAATATTTAAACCAAAGAATAAAATTTACAGTTCTGGAAATCACTGAAGAATAGCACTTGAGCCTATTAAAATTAATATAGAAATTATAAAATAATCAAGAGAATGACTATAGAAAACAGTGCTAATTCACAGCTCAAGAGGTCTAAGATGCATAGCTTCATAGAATCATTCGTGGAAAAACTGTATCATCTCATGTGTATTAATGTCTGAAAACTTGGACTGTATTTTGTAAGACTCGTCAGTGGCAACAGTGGGAAGGCCAACCCTGAGCGCTACACAGGATTCCAGTTGGCCAACATCGTGCAGGTCCACAAGTCTGGGTGATGTCTGGTTAAATGGTAAATGTGTGTTGGGAAAGTGATGACCTGCTGGAGTGAAATGCACAAGCACGAGTAGTTAAGGAAGAGCACAGATTAAAGTTATGCTTTTAATATTTAGGGCCATTTTACAGTGAGAATTGCCCTGTGGGCACTGCCAAAGTGCTGCCTATAAAGGCAATTTAAAGGCTACCTTAAGTGCCTTTAAAGTTTAAACATTAACCAGGTAGAAAAGAAAAGTGGAACTGTACTTCTTTTGCAAATATCTTTTAACTTTATTTCCTCAGGATTTTTTCTTCCTGAAATTCGCCACAGCCCTGTGCTCCTCTGTGACAAAGCAGGTGTGCTCGGGCCTCTGGCGCCACCTGACGGCACAGAACAAACTCGCCCAGCTCACGCTGCTTTGGAAAGGATCAGTCACTCAAGTCCAGTACTCTACAGTGAAAGCCTCACTGCTGACAGGAGACTCATATACCAAACCTTAAAACATCTTTTAAGGTAAAATTCTAAATCAAAATTCACCCTTATCCTATGTCTTTAGGTAATCAAAAATAGGATAAAAAGATATTTAAAATAATACAAATCCTGAAGAAAACAGGACTGAAGATATATTAGAAAGGTAGTTCTACCTGTACTGCCAAAAGAAATCCTCATTTGTTCTTAGTGAGGAAACTGAAGCACACCAGACTCCACCTCCACACACGTGAGAGCCACTGGGCAGTGTGGGGCACCGCAGAGGCAGCAGAGCCCTGCTGATTACAAACACCAAACCCAGGTAGCTGTCCAGAAAACAGAAAACTACAATGGAAGTAACCTGAGATCCCTAAGCAACACCATCGAACTCACGCCTGACTACGGAAGGGAGCTGGTGCACCTTATGCAGAAATCTTTGGAAGAAGTACTGGAATCTAAGCAAACAGCCTTTCCACTTGTCTTTACTGGCTGCTAATGAACACCCATTTCTTACCAATCACACATGTAGGGTCTGGAATAGGAATAGGAACTTTGTCTAATAAGAGTTGTGAAAATAAGACACAGAGCTGGTCTCAAAACCCCGCATACACCAGATTTCTCTTATATCCAACACAGAGCATCACTGAGAGTAACAAAGCCCTGGAAATGTATGTCATACCAAGGCTGGTGACTGAAGATAGAGATGGCTGACAGTTAATTTATCTCTGAGAACATGACTAGTCTGAGAACTGACAGATGTGACGGCTGCTGCTCCCACACGGGCTCAGAAGTCCCGAGCACCCATCAGTACGCCACTGAGACCGGGTCGCTCGGTATAGTGATGACCTGACAGGATCCGCTGCCCTTGGCGAGAGCTTTGGCTTCTGTTGTTGTCTGGGGCTTTGGTGGCCACTCTGGGTCAACCAGCAACTCCTGTGCCAGGTACATGTACTTTGCCTTTGGAGCCTTCTTCCGACAGCACAGGGCCGCCCAGGAAAAGCAGCATTTCCCCCACCGATCCACTGACTCCTAGGAAAATTAGACAAATTTTTAAAAAGCATCCTAAGTTGACTAAGGGGTTGTTCTTAAGAGGTTCATCAATGTATACACTGGAACAGAAAAACAAGAGGAAATGATTTCTGAGCATGACAAATAAATGAAAAAAATTCATGCAAAAAAAGCCAGCTTTCAGTTATTTAGAAACAGATTTTTTGGGGAGGGTTCTATTTTGGAGTTTTATTTTGTTTTTTGGTACCAGGGATCAAACTTGAGACCATGCGATTGCGAGGCAGGCGGCAGTAGAACCACTGAGCTAAATCCCTGGTTCTTTATTTTGTTTTTTGAGACAAGGTCTCACTATGTAGTTCAGGCTGGTCTTAAGCTCATGGAGATCCTCTTGCCTCAGCCTCCCAAGTGTGTGCCACCACATTTGGCCAGGAACAGATCTTTTTTGGGGGGTACTGGGGATCATGGCAGGTGCAGTGCCACTGAGCTAAATCCCCAGCCCAGGAACATATCATTTTTATTATTATTATTATTATTATTTTTGGTACCGGGGATCAAACTCGGGACCTTGTGCTTGTGTGGCAGGCGCCAGAACCACTGCACTAAAGCCCCGGCCCTCATTTTTATAGATTTTTTTGGTCATCTGTGTACAGGTATCCTGTAATTTACTTCACTTTATTTAGTTTTACGTACTTATTTTCCGGTGTACTGATAAAAATTTGTAAGTTGCACATTTGGTAGAATCTAGATGTACAACAAATACGTTAAGAATAACTTTATTTAGAAAGTCATTTTAATGTTTAATTTGGAAATTCTCATATTCCATCCCAAATTATCTTTTGCTACTATTTGCCCCTAGGAACTCAGCCACTTGACCACTTGTAGAAGAAAGCAATGGGAAATAACAGTTACTGTCAATATCACCTTTCCAAGCATGAAGAAAATAGGTCAAAATGAGAACTAAGATCATGTTTGATGCCTAAACCCACACTCTCCCTACAGAAAACAGTACTTTCACTCTGGGACAACGGTTTCCTTTGGTGCTCCACACCGGAAGCTGATCCACAGACAGGGGTAAATCAGGTACTGTTTCTTGGTATTATTTTTAAGAGCTCTCTTACCACTGAAGTCCTCATCCATCTGAAGTTACTAACGAGTGTCACCTAGAGTCCTTGGTTAAGGTCTAGAAACATAACTTCAGCAGAGGCCAGGAGGTGCCTTCAGTTTCTCATAGCTGAAATGGGACACAAATGCAGTGAGCCCGGCGACCATAGCAGCAGTCACTGCTGGAGCCAGTCGGTGCACTGTCCCGCTGCTGCTTCTCCTGAGATAAACTCAAGCCTGGCTTGCACCATCCAGCCTACAACTAGCTCTCATCTCAGTCCCCCAGCCTGGAAGACACCATCATAACTGGAACATACTCAGATGTGAACGCCTAAATGCCATGGCCGAGGGAGGCAAGTCTGCATATGTACACTGGAAACATGTTGCTGAATGGCCCGACAGAGAACAGCAAAAATACCTTCAGAGGGGTGCAGTGACTGAACCCAAGGCCTCTGCACTGATCTACTTCCCCAGCCTTCTAACATTTTGAGACAGGGTCTCACTAAATTGCCCAGGCTGGGTTCAAATTTGCAATCATCCTGCCTCACCTTCTAGAGTTCCTGGGATTAGTGTGTGCTACCACACCTGACTCAAAAACACTTTTAAATGAAGCTCTTAAAAACTTTTCCGATACTCACTTGAGAGATCTTTCTCATCTTATGGAGACAGGAACCAGCTACTCTTCAGAAGATGACAGACGACTACAATAGTCTCTGGTCGAGTCAGTCTGTCACCAGAGCACCCTGTGCTCCACACTACCAAGGGCTGACAGGCCTTGCTGTGGTCACAGGCAGCTGCACTGTGTTCCTAGGAAGGACCTCCCCAAAGATGATCCATCTGTCATTGGGCCGGACACAGTCACTGTACTGTATTACCAGCCCCTTCAATGAACCCACAGAAAAACACTCAGGACCAGGAGGGGCGGACGTCCCCGCACCCAGGTATCCTGGGTGACAATACGGCAGACAAGTGACCCCACCACCACCACCACATGTAGCACACTCCAGGCTGGGGATTTAACCTTGAGGGCGGCTCACTACCCTGGGTTTACTTTTTTCCGAAGTGCTTCAATTCTTCAGTCCAATTGTAGAAAATTTCATTGTTCCTAAATCAATATGAAAGCTGTCATTTTTTATTTTACAGCGAGTAGCACTGTTAAAGGATCACAGAAAAAGGCTCACAGTGATTGCTGACTCTCAAAAAGAAAGACAAGCACCAGAACCTAATAGGCTCCATCTGTCCAGTGAGCCTTCTGAGTCCAAGGGCCAGCACGAGAGAGGCTGAGGTGGGAAGCCCAGGCCAAGGCTGTGGGATTTAGGCACACAGCCCTGTTGCATGTTCCTGCCTGTGAGCAGGGAGGCCCAGCAATATTTAATTACAAACAGAAGCAAGATTGAGTGGTGTGCTTTTTACATTCAAGGGTGTATTTTAAAATATTCCTCATCTCCTTATTAAAGACAATATGCATTTGCTATAATTTGTTTTAAAAAATCAAGTCATAAAGGACACCAGGGATTTCCCAACTCCACTTTTAATTTAGAAACATAATTTTTCCTGTATCTTCATCTCTCCCAAGTATCATACACAAAATATTATATACAAGCACAGATTAGTTTACAAATACAAACATGCCACACATGTCCTCAGATACTACATAATGACAGAGAACAGGCATGAGAGGCATGCTGGGAGGAGACATGGCGGACGATCAGGGGAGGTAAGTGCTATGCAACTTGGAGGCAATGTAGCAGAGCAGCAGGAGTTTGGCACGAGCATGGTGCTGCTCCCCAAACTTCCAGGCCCTAAGCCCCCGAAGCAGAATATAGCAGGCATAGCAACCCGACCTCTGTGTTTGCTTCTGAAAGGAATAGTTTTAAGAGACCAAATTTAATCCCCTCAGAGCTGGGCGTGGTAGCGCACACCTATAATCCCAGCACTTCAGAGGCTGAGGCAGGAGGATCACTGCAAGTTTAAGGCCAGCCTGGGCTACAAAGTGAGTTTGAGGCCACCCTGAACTCCACAGCAATACTCTGTCTCAAAAGTAAATGTATAAATAAAAAACTTTAAAATTATCCCCTCAGAGAAGAGGCCGGGGATCAGGGCTGGGGATTTAGCCTTCAAGGACATTATGGCTGTAATTGTCCTGCTTCTTAGACCATTCTAATCTGTTTACCCTGGAACCCAACTGCCAGTTTACTCTCGGCAGGTTCTTTTAGGAGTGACATTTAAAGTATAAAGTTATGTTTGCATGAAAAAAAATGTTGTAACGGTACTGTGGTTTTCATAAGTCTTTTCCCATACCAATCCAATCAGAATTAGCATTCCTTCTAAATAAGCTCAAATAACATTCTGCATGGCAGGAAGACAGTTAACACTTGTATTTATCAACCAGAAAGCAAGCGGCTCCAGCAGTATCAAACTGTAGAACACAGTAGTACAATGATAGCGCTACATCTACTACGAAGTGGCTTCTGTTCCTAGATGCCAAGTACACACAGTTGCTTCTAAGGAGACCAGACACAATCTCCACAGAGGAGCAAGCTTTAGGGAGACCCGGATGGGGTCCCACTGAGGACTCTCCTCCAGGTGAAGAGTGCAGTTGAGGCACTGCTGATGAATGTCCTAAGAGGAATCACTGGTATATCAAGAATATTTGTTAGAGAAGAGATACTAATATCTAAGGCTGCTAAAGAACATGATAGGAATATATGGCTCCATAACGGCTTAAGCTGTCATTACTTGCAAATGGCTTCCTTAATTTGATTCAACAGACATTTATCGAGGTTACCACTGTGGGATCGTCTAGCATGCACAAAGCCCTGGGTCTCATCTTCAGCACACACGCACAGAACGAGTCCAAGCAAAATTCCTGCTATAAATCAGGCGAGCTGCAAGAATGTTCGGGGGCCCAGGCAACATGTCATATCTACACTGCCCGATAAAATGGGCTTTAAAGCATGGATGGAGGCATATGCTACAGAAACATGACAACCTGGACTTTAATTCCACATCAAACACTGTCTTCTTGTCTGTAAGAACTGAAGGCAGAGATGAAAGCTACTCCTGTCCATACCACCACAAAGCAGCTGCTAACAGTAGCTACTGCCTGTCCCATCCTGTCCCTGGACCATTCAGTCAGTCTTGTCTCTATTGTCCCCACAAATGAGGCTCGGGAAGCCATATGGCAAAATGGAAAGAGCCCCTCTCTTAAAATGTGAAATCCTGGGTTCAGTTCCAGCTGTGCCATTCAGGGGTGCCTAAGGGTGGCAAGCTGGAAAATCCGGTTGGTTTCTGCATAAAATGGAGTCAGAAATACCCTAAGTCTGGGAGGCCCCTGGAGGTGGGACGAAGCACCTTGCAGAGATTTCCAAGTGAATTTCTTGGCCTCCTGATTCACCATCAACCTGAAGCCTAGTTCAGGGTCCCTAGCTTTGCAACTGTTAACCCAACTCCATGGTCTCCACCCCCGCCCCATCGACACAGTAAGGAAGGAGAAGAAGAAAGGGGCTTTCCTTCCCCAGCACTAACACAGAAGCTGGGAGTCGCAGCCTGCCAGGACCTCATGGGACTGTGTCGTAGGTGTGAAGAGGGCCCAGGGCTAAGGGAAGGCTGAGAGGAGTCACAGCATCAAAGAAGTCTTGAGTAGCGAGTCATGTTCCCTCTGCTTTCCTGTCCACCTTCAGGTCGTCAACCTCGGGCCAGTGACATCCAGGCTACAAAAGTCCTTGCTAGGAGGCGATGTCCCATGTACCACAGGTTCGTTACTCCCCAGCTCTCTGACCTGCAGTGCTCTACTTGCCAACAGCAGCCCCCTTCCTTCACTGTTACCACCAAACACATCCCCTGACACTGATGAGTGTTCCCTGGGGGACGGTCACCCCAGCTGAGAACACGGCCCCCTATGACTTGCCTGATTGGACATGCAGAAGCGGCAGGTGACGGCAGTGTCGAATTCTGTACTAAGCTACTCTAAGAAGTCTCATTCTAAAGCCAGTAACTGGGGCCAGGGATTTAGCTCAGTGGTTTCGCCGCCTGCTGCACAAGCGCAAGGACCCAAGTTCGATCCCTGGTACCAAAAAACCCCCAAAAAACAAACAACTGAAAACAAACAAACAAACAACTAAAGCCAGTAATTGACAGTGATTTCTTAATCATGAACACCAAACTAGAAGGGTATAATTCTTCCTACTCACTGGTTCTCAGACTGATAGTTAGACACCTCTTTGGAGAAGAGGAAAATTCAATTTAAATTTTTCCCTAGGCCTGCGCCTTACCACTACAAATTCCTTCGCCCGAGAACTGGAGATAAGACCCTAAGTTAACCTCTGAAGTACTAGAGGCGAAGGCCTCAAACGGAGAATTCAGGCCCCGAGGAAATGTGGGTAAGGCCTTGAGCACCAGTTCTCTCAAACCCATCACTACTCACCACACATCCTTAGAAAACAGACAGTGGACCCTTATGAAGCTGTCCTGTGGAACTACACCTGGACAAGGAGCCTGCTAAGTCGCCCAAGTAAAGCTCAGGAAGTTGACATTTAAGTAAAAGGTAGCTAAATTGAAGTGAGTGACCCCACTGAGAAACGCCCGGAGTTCCCTTAAACTCTGTGAGTGTCCCGGTGGCTGGGCATGAGTGAAAGACACAGACTCACATCCGAAAGCACCTCACTCCCCTGCAAAGAGCAATGGGTCAGGTAAGGAGGGGCGAGAGCTCATAGTGTCAGGCACTCTCCGGACAGCTGGCTCATGGGTCTGATTCAATGACAGCACTTGCAAAACAAATCTGCACTCATTTATCAACAGCTACACTCCAACATCTGGATGCTAGGAAATGGGCTTTATTCATCATCAGTTTCTTTCTCTTTTTACCCACATAGCTTGTGATACCTTGCAAATAGTAGGTGATTCAAGTGACTCCTAAAGTCCTAGCCATGCTTACTTGAGATGAACATACCATTTTCCAAATTCGAGAGAGACAGACACTGGGGGAAGCCAAAAAGCCACCCAAATTAATGCACAGAAACACTTTCTTAAAATTTCGCCCTTTGGATTCCAATCCAGGAAGAAGAAAATTTCAATTTCAAAATTTTATTTACATGAGTATCGCTTACCTCTAATGAGACTCATGAAAACCAAAAACACAAAACAAAGCGGACAGGGGTGGAAGAACACACTCTCACCTTTGCAGACCACTCTTCCACACACAGCATTAGAGTTGGGATGGAGAGACATAAACGGCTGGAGTCCTGAGAAGGTCTAGCAATACTTGCCATGAGTTTTCTAGGACTCCACAGAAATGAAATGAGGGGCACAGGGGAAAGGCTGAGGCAGCACACAGACACCCTAGCGTGCAGGGTGCACAATTGGAAGCGGGGCCTCGCAGGATGAAGGCAGGCGCTTACTCCTGACCTGTGGCGGCGGTGTGGTGCTGAAGCGACACTCTCCTTGTCTGTCTCGATTGAACACAACTTTCCAAAGGACCATGTCAAGGAAGAAGCTCTGAGAGACAGTCCAGTGAGGAAGAATTAAAATGACCAGGCTGTTCTTTTTTAACATGCACATTTACAGTCACTCACACACTGGGTCATCATTAGTCAAAAACATGGTTTGAGTTTCATATAGAGAACTTCAGTTCATACTACAAAAGGATAAAGACTCAACACCAGGAATTCTGTAACAAATATAAATCACTAAGTTTTGATAAAGGGGGACTGCTAAATCCTTCAGAAAATATGGCTCTTCTAGGATTCCTCAGTACACCCCCACATTCAAACAATGCTTATTAACTTGAAGCCTTTTTGTTAACAATGAATTATTTTCCCTGAATATCTAACATTAATTCTGTCAACACAAATGATTTTTTAATGAGCAAGAACAGTAACATTTGAGTGAAAAGATAAGCTTATATTGGAGAAGAAGGAATAGTTTTAGAATGATTTCTTAAGATACGCTTTCTAGCATCTGTCACAGAAAAAATATATTCCACTGATAAATTTCAAAGTCTACTCTAAAAAACCATGCTGCCGGTCATCTCTCAAATCTATATACCAAGTCATCTTTTTAACAGGACAACTTAAATTAAGCAGAATTCATACAGAATTATCTCTATAGAGAATTATTATTATCACTAAAATATCCATACTTCCCCACAAATTACCTTAATTTTAACTCAAAAGCTATGACTATGAAACTCGTAACTTAAAAGCCAGGGTTTATTAATAAGCAGTAAGTGAGGGCTTGCTAGCTCCTTTTAGAGAAGCTGGCCCAAATACCGGAAATCCTAACAGGAGAGTGATACGTGATGGACAAAGACTCCCAGAGTACTGAAGACTCCTCCTGCAGGTCACTCAAAATGAAACACCAAGCTCTGGTGACCAATGCTGAAATTAGTTAAGTCCATAATGCTCAGCATTTTACGCTTTTATTAAACCCCTGCTGGCAGTCAGTGGTGGCGAATCTATGGCACACATGCTGCAGCAGGCATATGAGCTAAGTCACCCCACCAGCCAAGCATCAGATATTCAGGTTTAATTGCAGTGTTGGCACTTTGCGATAAATAAGTGGATTCCGAGTTGCAATTTGGGCACTTGGGTCTAAAAGGTTCGCCATCACTGCTGTGTCTCCTGTACTTCCTAGAGAAAGCCTCCCCCTCTGCTTCCATCCTCAAATGGGACATTGTACCCTACATCACAGCAGATGACGGCACAGCCCACTCTGACTTCCCGGTCATTGGGAACTGGGGGGCTCCCTGCCCTTGCTCCCGTGTGTTCCCTTGCTGTCTCTCTTCCCAGGATGGAAAAGGCCAGAGAGAGGCTCAGTGCCTCGGCAGGAGAGGACTCTGAAACTCTGGGCTCTGTCCCATCACCTATCCTCCTCCCCCACTTTCCATCTCACCACCAGGGTGGGACCTCAGAGCAACCAGGGAGCCGTTCAGCGGCCTGCAGTGCTTACCTCCACCATGACAGACACCAAGGCATTGAGGAGGACAATGACCAGCATGGTTATTCGCCACTCATATGGGATACACACCAGCTGCAAGACAAGGAAGGTTAAAGTTGTGTATGCAGCTATCCCACAATTTCTAAATTACTGAGTCCCTATTATTTACCAAATCTCTAAATGGATTATCATTTAGCCCTCAACAATGCCACAAGGTATAGATTATATTCAAGTTTAAATGATGCTGAGTTTAAAGAACAATTAAGTGGCTGATCTTAGTGCCAAATCTCATCCCCAGACCCAACAGCCCATGTTGTACTAGATCAAAGTCTAACGAGGACTTATAGTAAAAATAGAAACCTGTCTTTCAACCACAAGGCAAATACTAGTCTAATAACGAAGTACTGCTTAACCTCCTACTACCGAAAAGGCATTCACAAGAAATGTTCAATTTAAGAACTATAATTTAAAATTCACTTTAAAATCTGATTAATTTCTAAGGCCTAAAAAATAAAGGAGAAAGATCCCACAAATGCAGCCATCCTTTCAGTCAGCATGTCTGTCACCAGATACCTAGGCTGCCGTGCTGGATGCCAGGGATGGGCTCTGGAGACTGCAACCATCATCCAGGCAAAGGCCATGGGAGCACGAACTAGACCCTGGTGAGTGAGGGAATGAAAGAAACTAACAGCTGACTGGCTATGAAGGAAGGAAAAGGACAAGGATGGGTGGACAGCGTCTCTCTCATCTGACCCAGATGCATGGTGACAGACTCTGTCTGTGGCTATGTGGGGCTAAAACTCCCAAGTGAGAGCTCAGCGCTGGGTATAAACATGGGGGGTCTTCAGCACACAGATGGCAACTAGGGGTGGAGTCAGGACTGTAGGTGAGATCGGCTGAGGCACAGAGCGAAGAGGGAGAAGGCAGGAAAGGTGGGGAACACCATCATTCAAGGAGCAAGCAGAGAGAACAGAACCACAAAGAAGACCGAGAATGAAGAGTCCACAGTCAGGAAAGGATGGATGAGAACAGAGCATCAGAGAATTCAAGAGAAGAACACATCTCAGTAATGGTGTCGTTAAGTGGTCCAACACTGCAGGGAAGTCAAGCAACATTAGGGAAAAAAAATTTAAGGACACAAACCCATTGGACTTTTGGTCTAATGCAGTGCAAATGAACACGAAGACTCTATACATCCTCTGCTGTGGTCTGGACTTGGCCGGTTCCCATGGAAACAGGTGCAGAAACCTGATCCCCAATATGATGGGGATGAGGGCTACAGGCTGGGGAGGCAACACCTTCAGTGGGGACTGGCACTGGGGACTGAACGGAAGTCAGGCATTCAAGGCCAGGCTGGTGAGGAGGAATCCAGAGCACCCTTACTATTCGAGCCGCCCACACACGCCAGCCTGCCCATCAACTTTTCCACTCTCCATGACAAACCCTGTTCTTTATACAGTACTGAGGTATCTTGTTATAGCAACAAACAGCCTAACACACTTTTTGACCAGGCAATTCCACTTCCCTGTTTACCTAACATATAATAAAATTTGTATTGAACTGTGCAAAAATTTGCAATGCAGCATTATTTACAACAGTAAACAATGGAAACAACCTAAACAGCTATCAAAATTGGATTACTCATACAACCTGTGGGAAAGTCCGCGCCACAGAATACTCATTCTAAAAGCTCGTGTGACTTTTTTTTTAATATGGGGTTTCACTATGATGCTCAGGCTGGCCTTAAACCTCTAAGTCTAAGCTTAAGCAATTCTGCCTCAGGCTGCTGAGAAAGTGGGACTAGAGCAGCACGGCTTCATACCCATCTCCTATAACTTTAGTACCCAAACCAACTGGTAACAGACAAGAAAGGAAATCTAAATCTGATCTTACTCACACAATAGGGGCAAAAATCTAAAACCAAACCACAGCATCTCAAATCCAGAGGGCTCACAACAGCGCATCATGATCAAACTGGATTTATCCTAGGAATGCAAAGCTAACAACTGAATTCAGTCAAATGTCATTCACCACACTGTGCTGGGAGAAAAGCTGTGGCTGTTATGGTTAAATAGAAATGTCTGCCAGACTTGAGGGCTGGATCCCCAATTCAGCAGTGGGGAGCCCAGAGGAGTGACTGTCATAAGGACCTAATGTCATCAGGGGTGTTAACCAACTGATGCGATCACAGCGAACAGGCTGCGGGAGGTGAGGCAGGACTGGACGAAGGAGGTCACTGTGCCTCTCTGGGCAACAGGATACCTTGTCCCCAGACCCTTCCTCCCTGGCTCTTTCCCTCTGCTTCCTGGCTACCAGAAGTGAGCAGCTGTCCTCCCCAGGCCCTTCTACCACATTGTTCCTGCCTGGGAACTGGCTGACTATGGACTGAAACCTCTGAAACCATGGCCAAAATAAATCTTTCCTCCTTTGTTTCATCACAGCGAGGGAAAGCTCACACAGTGATCATTTAGATAGCTGCAGTGCACTGTGGTGCACTGTCCTCCCAGCTACGTGGGGACACAGATGGGAGGACTGAGAATTCAAGGTCAGCCTGGACAACAGTGAGACCTGACGTCCACATAAAAAAAAGCAAAAGACCAAGTTTTGAAAAGTGTCTATGTTAACAACACTACAGAAGGACGCCTACTTAACCTTGGAAATACACAGCAAAAAAAAATATATATATATATTTAATATAGAACAAGACAAGATATCACTATCTGTACAATTCTTTGAAAGGATTGTGAAATGTCAAGAACGAGCAGTTTAAAATTTATATAAACAGCAAATCCTGGAGAATCTAAAATGTGTCAGAGTAAAGTCTGACAAAACTTCCAAATACAGGAAGAATATCCAAAATAATTGCACTGAATGCACCAGCAGCAAAGAATTAGAAAATGTAATTTTAAGTAGCATAGATTAGGGGAACTAAAACTGTAATACTCTAGGAATAAATTTGACTGAAAAAGTACAAAAATCTTTTAAAAGAAAATTATCAGATTTATTAAAAGATACGCAAGATCTGAAGAAACAGACATTTGTTCATGGAAAGATACACTCATCAAATCCCCTACAGACTTACTGATAAACTCAGTGCAATTCTAATTAATTCCAGAGTTCTTTTCCTGGTATCCGACAAGCTAAACTTACATTTAAGAGAAAAAGGTCGCAAGAGACACAAGTCCACGCTGAGTGGCAATGTGAGCTGGGGAGAGCGGTTCTGCACTGCCTTGTATCAAGATCGTTGCTTAGAAAGTCACAGTAATCTGGACGATGAGGTATAAAGACAAAGAACTACAGAACAAAACAGAGCCCTCAACAGGCTAATGGCTGAGCAGCATGCAGGGAAAACTGACTGAGGACAGAGGAATTGCTGAGCAGGTCATACTGTAGCAAATGGGCATTCAATGGGAAAAAGAAGAAATTTTACCCCTATCTCAAATACTACAAATCAAATTAAAATGAATATAATTAGCAAATTAAAATCATGATAAAACATTTTATACCCCCTTCACAAGACCAAGTATTGGCAATGATGTCGAACAATCTCACACATCAACAGAAACCGAAACTGATGCAATCACTGTGGAAAATAACTTGGCACGTGCAGAAAGTGGAAAGAGTGTGCTGAAATCAAATCGGGGTTAAGCCACCAGAGGCTACCTTTGTTCCTAGTGCTATCGTGGAAGCAGGGTGGGCAGTAATGGGAAAGGGACATAACCACTGACACTGTCTGGAATTACCAGCACACGTGGTGGTATTTAAAAGCAGATGGATTTTTTGTGACCTTGGTTTTGGTCTTGTTCTTTTTTTTTTGTACTGGGGATTGAACCCAGGGCCTTTGCACTGAGCCCCAGCCCCAGCCCGACCAACAGAACTACCTACCTACTTTCTATCTGAGACAGGGTCTCATTAAATCACTAATTTTTCAGGCTGAGCTTGAACCTGTGATCCTCCTGGCTCAGCCTCCCAGTGTGCTGAGATCACAGATGTGCACTACCACTCCCAGCTTGTTGTTTGTTCCTGGGGTGAACTGCTCCTATCTCTACTCTGGTACCTTATGGCTTATCCCACATACACCAAGAGATACATAAAACAATGTTCATATCAGAATTGTTAGTACAGGAAAAACACTAAAACAACCCAAGAATAGTATTTGCCAACAAGGTCCTGAGTTCGATCCCTGGTACCAGAAAAAAAAAAGCTACTATTTGCCATCAGAGAAATTAATAGTATACTTCTATACTAGCCAGCTGTGAATATGAAACACATGTGTCCACACAGATAATCTTAGAAACAATGTCGATGGCCAAAGTAAAAAAGAATGGCAAGGTATCATTTTTGTAGTTAAAAGCAAGTAAGACTATCTTTTATGTCTCATACATGAATGCTAAGTATATAAGGAAAAATACCATGGAGTGTTTGGAGAAAGGTACACAGATGATTAATAATGCTACCTATTCACAGACTGCAGGATGGACTCGTGGTGTTACTTCATTGCTGTTACTACTGCAACTTACATATATGTGCGTTTCCTTTTGTACAGAGAAGTATTTCACCCCATTAAGTTTTTGGTGGCAAGAATAAAGAACTAAATGATCAGAGAAGAAAGCGCATGTGTAGACCACCCAAGAAGTAGGATAAAGGGCAGGAAAGCCACGAGGCACACAGACCAAGAGGCCAAGGGGCACTCAGTTCCTCTGCTCAGGGAATGGCAGCAGAAGCACAGGCTACACGGGTGTAAACATGATTTCATTTGTTTTAGAGTAGCCTTCTTCACTCCAACTGCACCTCAGAAAAAAGGGAAAGAAAAGAGGAATGGAGGCAGCTTCACCTCTCCCCAGTGACAAAGAAGGGCACAGGAGGGGCGCAGAGAGTGATCTGTGGAATTAAAGGCCCAGGGTCTCATGATGCTGCGTAAAATTCACGTACTACCAGTGTCCCCTTCTGTCACTGTCACACTGCTGTCATACTGATAGTCACACCAGTGACTCTCAACCTGGAGACAAGAAGTAGTAAATGATGTGCGTCAGCCTTACCTCAAGAACCTCGTCAACAAAGGCAATTGGATGCAACATGATGAATAATACGAAAAAGTACAAAATAATCACAGATACAACAAAAAAATCTGGAAAAGAAAATAAAACAAGTAAATTAGAAGTTCTTGTAAAGAAATGGGATCCAGTAACAAGCGGTATACTATCATTTCTGAACTGAGTTTTGAACACTTCTGCTAACACCTAAGACACGTTCAGTTATTTCCTGTAGTGTAAGCCCTTGTGCCAGGCTCCCCGGATTCATGTACATAGTATGAGGCTACAGATATCGGAATCCCATTTACTTTAACCTTCAAAGGATTTCAGAAAATAATTAGCACTTCACAAATAAAATCTAGATCTTTCATAGATATTTACTTCTATGGATCATTGAGCCACTACGTAATTTACAAATAAGAAACTATAGACGCGTACAGCTAAATGAGTTCACCATTTACATGTATTCAATTAAAATTACTGATTGTTAAAAAATGCTGAAAAACATTTATTTTTAGTATTAGGTATGTGAAAATCCTAAGTAAAGGCACTGTTAAGTTGAATTTATGTGTTTCTAGAAAGTGAATCCTATTTTTTCATTAACCTACCCACAAAAACATTTTCCAAAAAAATAGCACAGGAAAGCTGGGGATTTAGCTCAGTGGTTTCACCACCTGCCTTGCAAGCAGAAGGTCCCGAGTTTGAGCCCCAGTACCAAAAAAAAAAAAGAAAAAAAAGAAAAGAAAATAGCACAGGAGTTGATTTGTTTTTAAATGTAGGCTATCCTGTGGCTTGCTAGGGAAGGTGGGGATAGAAAATACATCCATTAGTAACCTGATTCAAAAATAAAACTATTCTCAGGCCATTTTGCTAAGCATACACGTATCAATACATGAGAAGGCACACACATATGCATATCTCTGTACAACAAATTAGAAGAAAGCTTAGAAATTTCCTGATTATACTGATAGCCCCACATACTTCCTCTTTTTTGATTCAATCTGATATTACCAGTTGCTACTTGAATCAGCTTCAAATGGAAATTTACTAAGATCATAAATAACCAAAACCTTACCATGAAGCCTTTAAATAGGGTGAAGAAGTTAATGCCCTTCTTACTGACTATAAGTGACGTCTCACTGCTATATGATAAAGAGTCTCAATGCTCTTTTAAATGTGAAAGTCATTTGTAAATATAAAGTGTTACTGTGTCAGTTCAAAAGTACAGGCAGTATTTTTTGTTCAGAGAAACTACTCTCGCTATACACATATACAGTTCTAGCACTGCACACTATACTACCACTCATGTCAAAAGTGGGGAAAACTATTTTGCTGTGAGCCACTGACCAACAAGATGAAAAAACAGGGGACCTATTTTGGGTAAAAAGCATTTTTTTCCTAGATTAAAAAAAATTCTACACAACTGCCAACAAAAAATATAATATCCTATTCCATAAATGCAAAAGTAACATATCAGTTAGTCACTTAAAAGTTATTGTCACTTAAAGAAAAAAAGTGTTTAGGAAGCACTGTTTGCAAGTACACAGAGGAAAAAAAAAAATCAAGAAAGGACTAGAAGAAATGTTAAGAAAACAAATGCCAAAGAGACATGGAGAAGAAAAAGAGTTTCATTTAACAAAATAAAAAAATACTGAATATTTTCCAAATCCTACTGTATTTTTATAATTGTAGCAAAACCAGATTTGTAATGTGGTTCCTGATAAATGTATGTTATCAGAAGATAATTCAGGCTCCAAAACTTCTTACACCTACTTAAAGAGATCATCTCTCAAATGTCCCTATCTCTCTCCCTGAGCCAGGAAATAAATAACTGAATCTCTGCTTAGCCTGGAAAGAGACTATTCAAAAAGGCACTACATGACAGGAAAGATAGATAGCTAACAGATTTATATAGCCACACAAAAATTTAAAAATCAGTAAAGACTTCAGCCAAGAATGAAAATACCAGGCATCTCCGTTTAGAGGAGTGTCCAGTAGACTGCTCTCAGCACCTGACTTCCAGCACTGCTGCCAATCAAGCCCTGACCCTACCAACAAGTCGTCTCCAAAGACCATTATCAAATCAAACTGTGTACTGGTAGAGAGAAACATGGGCCAGGGGAGGGAGGGTGGCCCTTGTTATAAAGACTTAAGATTGCATTTTAGATGGACATATACAAAGCTAAATGAACAAAACAAGTCATTCCAAGTCTAACTATTTTGCCTATTAAATGGGGATATGATGAGGATTCTATAGCCAAGAGATGTCTAAATATTCAAAAAAGCAAAGCAATATGGAAATTCCAAGTTATTACCTACCCTCCACCTCATGGCAATGTGAACTTGTTACAGATGCCAGATACTTTTAATGAAATGTGGCATCAAAATAAGGTACCATGAAGGAATTCCTTCATATTCCCCTTGGTGATTCAGATATATAGCCTTATGTAAAGTAATACACATATGCTGCTGATCCCTGACCTGTTGTTCCTTCCTATTCCTCCTGGGGCCAGGGAACTTCTGACTATGACCACAGATGTCAAGTCCTTCCTTACTCAGTTCCTGGTCTCTGAAAGGCCAGCTTATTCTTCAGGGCATCTAGGGCTCTGAACTACTCCCATCCTAGGCCCTGAACAGGAGACACACAGGCAGTGCAGTGATAACGCCTCCACGGAGAGAGAAAGACGTTGGACTTAACTAACAAGTACCAAACTGTAGGGCTCAAGCAAGACACTGTAGCAAAAATTGAAGCTGAATTCTACAAAATCAATGAGCACGTAAGAATTTACTAAGTGTGTATCATCATGATCCTTAACAGAAAGCATGAGCAAATGTAGAAAATATAACTACGGTAAAGTTGAAAATGGGTAGGTAACCACAGACTGCAGTTAAGTCTTACTCAACATGAAACTGAACCAGAAGGGGAGGGTGGCCCTCTGAAAAGAGTGACTTAAACATTCTTAAAACTGAGACTACAGTAAGTCCCCAACATACGAATATTCAAGTTGTGATCTTTCACAGATACAAATGGACCTTGAATTACAAACATTCGAGGATGTGAACAAATCTCAAAAGTAGCTCACGTCGCAAGCGCAAGGACCCGAGTTCGATCCCTGGTACCAAAACAAAAGAAGTAGCTCATGCGTCTGCAGGACACTGTCACAGCTGTGCTGCTGTGTGCTTACTGTACAGTGCAAGGGTACAGTAGTACAGTGCTCAGTCAGAGCCCAGGACATCCGGAAGCGACAGGGAAAGCGGTGGTGATGTGGAGGGGGCTGCCAAGAAGCACAAAGCAATGTACACTGTGTATTTGTGTTAAAGGTGTGTAAGATTCACTTTGTCAAACTTAGAAACAAATCCAACTTAACAAATGTTCTCCTGGAACAGAACTCATTAATAAGTCAGGGACTTAATGTACTGTTTTAAAAACTCATAATCACAATATAATTTAATCTGTCATATTGCTTAAGTACATAAAAGAACTGTACTGGGTCCTAGCGAGTAACTGTTCCAACGAACTCCAAAGACAATGCACTTCAACAACAGACCAAGACACAAGGAGTGAAAATTTGCAAAATGCGTATGATCGACCACACTGCTCCATTCCTAGTCTCCAGGAGGCAGATTTTTTAACAGGACACACTTCTGCTCATCCACTATCAGAAACGCACATGCTGCTAATAGTAAGGACAACTGTCTTGTGATTACAAGTCTGCCACAATGTAACTTTAAAAAAATTAGTGCATAGAGCCAGGGAGTCAACTCAGTGGTGCCACTGCCTGCCTCACAAGCGCAAGGTCCTGAGTTCAATCCCCAATACCAGAAAAAAAATTAGTCTGTGGTCAATAATAAAGTCTATCATTTATTCAAGTCAAGTAGAAATTAATGGCAGTATGACATTTCTTCAGGATTTATTTTTTTTCAAGTTTTCCAAATCACATAAAGATGTACTTTAAAAACTAACATTCTCTTTCTCTCTTTTTTATTAAGGATAGGATAGATTTGCTTGCTTAGATTTCTATAGTTAGCTTTTCTGACGGGGCTGTCATCTTGCTTACAAAGCTGTGTACCAGTTTTCTCATTTAAAAAAAAAAAGCATTGTTCTTTCATAGATGTATTTTAGTTCTTGGACATTTTTAGTATTTCTTTGAAATTTAAAAATATTGGACTAATAATATATATCAACTTTAGTATTAAGATCAGCTTATACAAAGTTATCTTTAGTTAAGAAATCCTCTTATAAGTACAGAGATAAAGTTTCTAAGGAAGGCTTTTTGTACCACAACATGGTTCTAATAGGGTTCTCAGTAACGGTTATGATGCCAGTTAGATATAACCAACACATATAGAAAGTAACAGTTAAGGACAGGGGATTTAGCTCAGTGGTTCCACTGCCTGCCTCGAAAGCACAAGGTACGGAGTTTGATCCCCAGTACCAAAAAAAAAAATAGCAACAGTTATTTGTTAGATAAGAAGTATGAGTTCCAGGGCTGGGGATTTAGCTCAGTGGTTTCGCCAGCTTCCTCGGAAGCAGAAGGACTCGAGTTCGATCCCCAGTACCAAAAAAAAAAAAAAGGCTTGGGTTGGGGATTTAGCTCAGACCTTCTGCCACCTGCCTCACAAGCACAAGGATCCAATTGATCCCCAGTACCAAAAAAAAAAAAGCTAAAAAAGAAGTATGAGTTCCAAAAGAAAAAAAAAGGAGAAAACTACTGGTAAAACAAATCTCAATCCTACCTCTCCAAAATACAGTAATACATGCCCTGAAAGCTACACAGGGTGGAAGTAAAAAAGATAATGCATGTGGCAATGCCTCATCAACTCCAACATGAGAGACAGTCTCTTACTTCCCCTGTGCCATTCAAAAAAACTGTCCTGGAATCTTGCCAGCCAGAACACTGAGCTCTTTTCACAACTACAGCAAAAGAATATCTGCTACTCCCTTCCAAGATATACAAGTCTAAAAGGTGCTCCGTATAGTAATCAGTATGCTCCTGATTTCTAAAAACTGGCTCTTTATATATACTGATAACTTTTTTTTTTTTGTATATCCTTTTATTGGTACATTTTAGGTATACAATATAATGACATTCATCATTGGAAATTTGCACCTTTACATACTCTCTTGGTTCTTATTTTTCCCCCTTCCCCTGCTCTCCCTTCAACCCCTCCAACCCTCCCTATTTATAAAGACTTTGTTTCCATTTTTTCATTTTCTCATATTTATTCCACTCCCTTCTTTCCTTTTCCCTACCCCTCTCATTTCCCCCTCCCCTTTGCCCCTTGATAACTCTTAACTGTGGTCATTTAAAATGCTATAGCCTGTTCTCACAGGCAGACAAGTCCACGTTGGCACAAGCCTCCAGGTGGACACTGGCCATACCCGTGTTAGAAATGAAAAAGGGGAGGGGGAGGGAGGAGAGAGGGAGGGGAGCTGGTGTTGCACAGACCACCCAGAAGAAAAGACAATGCCCATGTCTCCTTCCCAGGGCTGTCTTCCTGCGTCCAGTCTTAACGCCCTCTGCAATTCACTACAGATGCTGCAGCCAAAAGTAACAGACTGTGAAGACCAGAAATGCTTAACACGAGAGGCTTTAACTTTAAATCGAGGGGTGCAATTCTCATGAGAGTAAAACAAGATGAACATCTAAATTACTGGTTCATTCTAGCTGTGATGACCTATTTTACTTTGGGAAGACAGTTAAAAACTCTTCTCCATCATTTTTAAAGGGGAAAGGCAGGGTGTAAATCACAGTAAATGTCAAACTTACAATTCTTGTAGCAAGGTTGCCTGAAGGGTTTTCCTTTTGAAAAGACAATTGCCACTGTGAGGTACTGGAAGCTGGAGATAAAAAACACTGTGGTATTTTCATAATTTCTTATCTTATCAGGGTCAGTTTCATTGCATGAGTGTGAAGAATTCCAATATAGGCTTCCTGTGGTATTACAAGCACTAGGGCACACAAAAAATTTTTGCATTAGTAAACACAATTTCCACTTCCCAAATGAAATCAAGAGCAAAAGGTCCAACAATATCAATATTGGATATACAAAAAAGATCCAAGAATAATAAGGGTTTTCTGTTAGCCAGACATTACAATCAGATAAAAAACTAGAAGAAATATTTAATAAATCTCCCTCCTTGTTAAAATGTTGGGAGTACTCAGACCAGGGTTTGACATCGGCTCTACCACATTTTAGTAGCAACTTGGGAAGTACGACCTCATCTCTTTCAGCCTGTCTCCTCCCTCGTGGGACCAACCCGGTCCGCCACAGGCTTGTGGGGACTGAGTAAGAAGCCTTGTACTGGACACATGCCCAGCAGGGCACGGCACTGGGATGGCCCTCGACAGTCTCCAGCCAGGCCTGGCCCTCCTTTCCATTTCCAGGTGGGCAGTGCTGCCCAGCACACACACAAGCAAATATGTGAAGCCCACACCACCCTTAATCAAACAGCCACTGCAGCAAGCAAGGGTAAGCAGTGACAAAATGATAAACTGCTACTCCTGCACTCTGAGAGTCTTAAGATAATCCCACCTGCCCCCCAACCCTGCAGTGCTGCAGACAGAACCCAGGCCCCCCCACATGCCAAGAGAGCACACTAACCACTGAGTACACCTTCAGCCCTACCCGTTCCTGACCATGGGTTAGAAAATAACATTAAACTTTTTAAAAACAATCTCCCTCAATCAAGCAAACTAAAAATACATCTGAATATTTAATTCAATAAAATTACTCACATTTTTCATTAAAATAATATTAGCACAATTTGTAAATCATAGAATACCAGTAAACAAATAGATGCACTTAATATCACATTTTTTTTGGTAGCGGGGATCGAACTCAGATCTTTGCGCTTGTGAGGCAGGCACTGGAACCACTGAGCTAAATCCCCGGCCCTAATATCACATTTTAAAAATGTTCTAAAATGCCATTTCCTGAACTGAGGAAGACAACTTAGAAGTGCAAAGACTCTTGAGTTTAGAAGACTGCAACTTTCTTATTTCACAGGTAAGAAATGTTAAGTCTGTCCCCTCCAAAATTCATGCTGAAACTGCACCCCGACTGTGAGATGTGAAGAGAAAGGGCCAGGCGGGAAGGGCTCTGCCCTCATGGATGAATTCATCTATTCAAGCAGTTCATCAGTTCACAGGTTATCCGTGAGGCAGCTATTACAGAAGCCAATCTGGCCAGGTCTCTTTCGTTCCGTCTCTTCCCATGGATGTTGGGCACTGCCTTAGGGACCCTGCCAGCAAGGAGACCATCCCAGATGTAGCCCCAGGACCGGGGAGCAGAACAGTGAGTCAAATCAGCCTCTTTATACCTCAGCCTGTGGTTTGTAATTAGCAATGGAGAACAAACACCCTTCCTACAGATAGGAAGTAACCTAAAGGGAAATGTAAGCCAAGTTATGCAAGTATTTAAATCAGCTGCATGCAACTTTTATACACATTTCTACACCCATTTTATAAGCATATTTACACACCTTCACACAGATGTTTTGCACAGGTTGACCTACTTACTCTAAGTGTGGAGGACACTCTTTATACCAAGGCTGCTGCTTGACCCAAAAAAAACCCAGAGCCTGAAATCCGATGGAGATGATGATCTGAGACAAAACAGAGCAGAGCAGGGCCCCAGATATGAGACCAGAAGGCGGTCGCTGTGCCACAAGTTCCTTCCAGGCAGGGTTTAAACTCACTGTCTCGAAAAGAAAGAGGAAAGGTTTGTGTCTAAGTCACTGTAAAAGACAGAGTGAAGTGCATTTGGAAACTTTAAAATGTTTCTAACAATTCTTTAACATGGAAAGTTCCCCCAAATCAAGACAGAGACAGACATATTTAAGTAATCTGTAAAAATAAACAACTTAGGCTTTTTCAAAAAAGCCTCAAGAGTAATATTTACAATCCTATTGAGATTCAACAGAAACACTAATAAAAATAAAAATACTAAATATAAGTACAAAAACTATAAAAATAATCACCACTCTTAAAGCCCATTATTTTCTGAATACTTAACTGCAAAAGCAGGTAAAACAATATATACTTTGCCTCTAAAGAAGACACTAATAATGGTCTGAAGGAATGTAAACATACTAGTAACATCAAAAAATTGATCACCCGGACCAGGGATTGAGCTCAGTGGTTCTGCTGCCTGCCTCATAAGTGCAAGGACCCAAGTTTGATACCTAGTACCAAAAAAACCCAAACTGATCACCTATTAAGGTGGTATCCCCTGAGCTTTGCTTCTACTGAACAGTTTCTGGGTTTTTACACTTGATCTTAGCCAAAAGGCAGAGAAGTGATTTTTTTTTTTGGTACCAGAGATCGAACTCAGGTCCTTGAGCTTGCGAGGCAGGAGGCAGAACCACTGAGCTAAATAGTTTCTGGGTTTTTTTTTTTTATTTTTAATTTTAATATTTATTTAGTTTATTTAAAAAGGACAAATTTTCAACATCAACTGATTTTTTGGTTTACAAAGTCTAAAAAAGAAGAACAGAAACAAATTCCTATAAGTACAATGAAAATACCAATAGAACTCTACACTAAAGACAATCTTCCACAGGTGTCGCCTTCACTGACAGCACACGTGTTCTGCTTTCCTGGCTTTTTTGTAGGACTTTTTTTTTTTTTTCTAAATGGTACCGGGGATCAAACTCAGGTCCTTGCGCTTGAGCAGCAGGAAGCGAAACCACTGAATCCCTGGCCCAGTAGGACATATTTGACATCTCGCTGGTCTTGATGTTTTGTCAGGAGGTTCTTATTATACTATACAAAGTGTAGTTAATAGGAATATAAAATATCAATAAAATAAACTGTTAAATTCTCAATATGTATTTTGTTTTTCTTTTTATAGTAACTTTTGAAGAGTAACATCGGGACTGTCAAAGCCTGCTCCTCTCTCAGTCACTGTGTTCACCATCTACTAAAGACTGGCTTACTCACGCTTTGCAATCAGGGATTTCTGCATCCCCATGGCACCATCTGGAGACGCTTCCAGCTGTCACCCTTGGAGGATGCTGCTGGAGTATGGTGGAGAAGAGCCTGGGTGCTGCTGACACCCTACAGTGCCTGGGACAGCACCCCAGAGAATTATCTGCCTAATACGTCAGTGGGACCAAGGTCTCTTGTGGTCTCAGTCCAATAATCCTGTTAGCATTTTATGGCACAAATACTTACTTCTCTAGGGACAGACTAGCAATCTTTGATGCAATAGGCCATACCCTACCAGCATCATTTATTTTGACTCAGTATCACTAATGCTGGAGGAAATCTACACTGTGTGCCTTCTTTTATGACCCATCTACAGGACACAGTGTCACTTTCATGCTATCCCTCCAAAGCTTCATCACCTGAGTCCAAGGAGACTAAATCAGACCAACCATACTCATAAACAATGAGGTTTTCAATGTTGAGATGCCCCAAAAGGCTGGGGGCCTGTTCTAGATGAAAGAGGCTGAAGAAACACAGTAACGAAATGAAGCTAGAGGGTCCTGCATCACATGCTCATTCTAATCCAGGGGACGAGGAAGAATACAAGCACAAAGGACATTATTGGGGTTAAGTGACAAAATTTGAATAGAAGAGTTTGGATTGGATAATATATGAATGGTCAGTTTCCTGAACTTTGTAACTGCACTTACTTTTAGGTAATGTACACTAAAATACTCAGTGGCAAAGGGGCATGGTGATGCCAGACTCACTCTCAAATATTTCAGGAAAAAAACCCCAATGAGGCCAAGTATAAATGAGAGGTAATAAAAGAGCACATTTACAGGAAATCTGCAGAGACATAAGCCATGTTACAACTTCGAGGTAAATTCACCAAAGTTTAGTACATCAGATCAGAATTTCACATATCAAATCAGAAACAAAGCAAAATACTCACTTGTAAATACTAGTACCAAAATGATTGCCATGTCAATGAAGAGAAACTGGAAGTCTCCTAGGTTACTTAAGATCTACAGAAATAATTTTAAAACACAGTTAGTTTCAGAAAGGATTTTTATTGTACTATTCCCAGGTTATAATTTATTTTTTCCTCCATAATGACAACTTCAAAAGAACACATGAAACTGCTTAAAAATGGAAAGGCCTGTGCCTTTAATCAAATATATGTTCCTAAACATTTGATTTAATATATTAGTACAAAGAATATCTCCTTAAAATTCATCCAAGAAAAACCTCTTAAAAGCCAGGCATGGTAGCACGTGCCTATAATCCCAGCACTCAGAAGGCTGAGGCAGGAAGACTGCCAAGAGTTTGAGGCTGGCCTACACAGTGAGTTCACAGCTGGCCTGAACTACACAACAAAATCCTGTCTTACCCCACCACCCAAAAAGAAAAAAAAAAAAACTAATAAACTTTTACTCTAAGTATTCAACATTTTTCCAAGTTACTATCTTTAAGCTTCCTTAATATCTGATACCACCCCACCGGTTACTTTTTACAAATGGTAAAAGGGGATAGTTTATAAAGATTCCTTGGGATGTCACCAGTGTTTATTAAGAGAAAAATCTATAGTGAACTCGCTTCAATTATAAAATTCTACAGAGTAGTGTATGGTCATCACTGTTTATGCTTCTTCTTCAAATGAATAAAACCCTACAAATAACTTTCCTCATTCTGGACTTTTATTGCAACTGTGAAATATGCCACAGGCAGACATTTTAAACAGGGAAAGATAGGCAGACGTCCATCTGGGTATGAGGGTACATGCCTACGAACTGCAGTCTGGGAGCCTGGGGCAGGAGAACTGTGAAATTGAGCCCAGCCTGGACAACTTAGCAAAGACTCTAACTCAAAATAAAAAATTAAAAAGCTGAGGATGAAGCTCTGGGATCAATACCCAATATTAAAGGGAAAAAGAGATGTCCAACCTGCACTAAAGCTAAAATGAATGGTTGTCCTTTTCTCACCAGGCTTCAGTCACAGTTGCTGTCCTTAAGGAAAATGCTTTCCACATTAATGACATTTTCAATCTACTACTCAACACAAACTCAAGGTAAATCTAGATACTACTTTCATAAAGGTCACTATTAAGTATCCATTCAAAATCAAACATGTGGGGCTGGGGATTTAGCTCAGTGGTTCCACCTCCTGCCTCGCAAGTGCAAGGTTCTGAGTTCAATTCCCGGTACCAAAAAAAAAAAATCCCTGTCAAAATCAAACGTGTATTAGCCAGGCATGGTGGCACTTGCCAGTCATCCCAGCACTTGGTCATCTCGGCACTCGGGAGGCTGAGACAGGAGGATCCTGCAAGTTCAAGGCCAGCATAGGCAACATATTGAGTTCAAGGCCAGCCTGAACTACACAATGAGACCCGGTCTTAGAAGACCAAAACAACAAAACAAAACAAAAGCAACAACAATAAAAAAACAAACATGTATGTGTCTTAGCATGAGACCCCACCCCTGCACACAAGGCTGTACTCACGGAATATAGGAGAGTAACACTGGCGTACTGAATGATACTGTACAGTGCCATAAACTTGAACACACAGAAGGAAGTCATCAAAGCAGCACGACCTTCCCTAGGGAAAGAAAGGCTAGGTATGAAGGAAGGCATTTCAAACTGTTTTTGTCCAAAACACAATTATATCTTTTTTTTTTTTTTTTAAACACAATTATATCTTGACAGGTACTCGGAAACATTCAACAGCTACCAAAGTGCATGCCTACTGGAAGAGCTAAGGAAAACAGTAATCTGCTAATAATGTTACCGGTCAAATGGGCTACTAACCATTTAAATTTGCCCTTATACAAAGAAATAATGCAATAATGCAAAGAAATCATAAAAACAATTTCAGCTTGTGGTACCTAATGAGGTTTGGCACACAGGAAATACTGGGAGTTTTAGAGGTGAAAGGTGACGCCACAGAAGCCTCAAGTTCTGACAAGGAAATGCCTCCATGCGCCCTCTTCAAAGCCTGAAGGTTACAAGAAAGCGGAATAAGTTTTGCGAATGGCATTCAGGCTACAGTAAGAATTACAGAGTAAATGGCAGGACTATACTTACACCACAATCATTCGCTCCATCACCACACATGCCAACGAAGTAACTAAGGACCAAAATAATTAGAAAGCATTAATTTCTTGAATGGCACAGCACCCAAGTTAATAAGACTTCTTCAGTACACATTATGAAGACCTGAGTGATCATGAGGCCCTGGCTTGAACCTATGGATTTTTCCATTACAAGAGCCACAGCCATGGTACTCTGCTGACAGCACTGGCCAGAAAGGGAACGGGTCCATGTCACGGTCCCATGTATGTCACAGCAGGGGAAATTCATCTTGGAATCTCCATTTTCTAACTTTAGAGCCAAGGGCTTATGCTCAGATATTCTTTAGTACACTTACTTTTAATCCACTGGTGAGGACTCCTCCCTTAAAAACATCAAACACAACCATGTACTGAAACTATGAAGTCACTTCTCTCAGGATAGAGACCTGACTATACTCTACCCCAAGGTGTCACCTGGAGAAGAAATCATGGATGTTGTCCTTGAGCTATAAACCAGCACATGGGCCTATTTTTAAAGAGGCACTTCGAGTTCTCACTTTCTCAGAGATGACTATCTTCATGCACGTGCATGTGTGTACACATGTGTGTGCTGAGCTGTGAAATGCTTGAGAAAAGAAGTATTTCAGACTTCCACATTTTTTGGATTCTGGAATATCTGGACTTCAACAGCTGAGCATTCCTCACTCAAAAACCCCAAATCTGAACTCTAAATTCTGTTGCAATACTCCTAGAGTTTCAGATTTTGGAGCATTTCAGATTGTGGATATCTGGATTAAGAATGTTTGACATATATATAAGAAATATTAGTTACTACTCAGTTTGAAGATGAAACTATAACTCAGAAAATATCCCAAAACACAAAATCCACAATACCTACTCTACATTTTGTAGAGCTTCTACCAATTGCGTCTTCTGATCAGGTGCCATACGAGCGAACACCGTTCCATGCAACATCAACTGGAAAAAAACATTAACTTCTTAAAAATACTCTCCACAATACACTCATGTGAACACATTCATGAACTCATGAATGAACTCACCTTAGGAACCAGATCTTGAAAATGCTCTAGAATCACGGAAAATGATTTTCCATTCATAGCAAAATGGTAACGCACCAACTGCAGGTCCTCTAAGCTATCGTGAGCCAACTTCTTTGGAATCACCTGTGGACAAAGACACCGGAACTGTAGTTAGGCAGCCACACCACATCACATGATCTATGTTATGTATTCTTGTTTCCAAAACTGAACTGTTTTATTTGATATTTCATTCAAGGCATTGAAAATTTAACATCTATTCAAAAGGAAAATTTTTTGTTTTGAGACAGGATCTCACAGTGTCATTCAAGATGGCCTTGAACTCATGCAATCCTCCCTCCTCAGCCTCCTGAGTGCTGAGGAAAAATTTTTTTTTGTTGGTACTGGGGATTGAACTCGGGTCCTTGCGCTTGTGCAGCAGGTGGCAAAACCACTGAGCTAAATCTCCAGCCCAAGGAAAAACTTTTTTTTTTTTTTGGTACCGGAGATCGAACTCGGGACCTTGTGCTTGCGAGGCAGGCGGCGGAACCACTAGGCTAAATTCCTGGCACAGGAAAATCTATTTTTAAAAGCACCTATAGGGCCAGGGATTTAGCTCAGTGGTTCCGCCACCTGCCTCGCAAGCACAAGGTCCCAAGTTCGAGCCCTGGTACCAAAAACAAAGCACGTATAATGTTCATTTTTTTAAAATTCCTATTTTTTTTTTAAAACTTAAGATTAAATATCATCTTTAATTTGAAGATGTAAAGATTAAACACAGTGGTACCTCAGTTAATGAACGCAATTCTCTCCACAATTCTGGTTGTAAACTGAACTGGATGCGAATTGAACCAAATTTCCCCATATGGTCAACATTGAACCTAACCACTGAATTTGATTCAGTTTTCCTTCAACTCAGGTTGCGACCAGAGCTGTGGAAAGAATCAAGTTCGTGAACTAAGATACCACTGTTTCTGGAAGCTTGTGAAGCACCTGCATCATTTATTACTAATTACTTAAAAATGGGATATTTATTGTTTTTTTGGCACTGAGGATCAAACTCAGGACCTTGTGCTTACTTGCCAGGCAGGCGCTGTGCCACAGCTACATCTTCAGCCCTCTTTATTTTAATTTTTTCAGAGTAAATTCAAACAAGCAAGCTTCAAAACAGAACATTAATCTTGGCCTTACCTCTGAGCTGATTGCTGATGAATTACTGCACTGAGTCAGGGAGTCCGCATAATGCCAATTTATCTTGGCAACTTTTCCATCCTTTGGAGGCAATGCTTCAGCAATAATAATTTTATCCTGAGGTAGAATCATTCCACAGTCTCGGGCCACAGAGACGGCAGTCAACATATTGTCACCTAATTTTCAAAATATTTTAAATGTATTAAAATTTCAATCAAAATGTAACTGTATCAAACAAGTATTCACTGAGTACCTATTGTGGTCCCTGTGACCAAGCTGGGCAGAGTACAGATGCCAGATGGTCTTGATCTTGGCCAGTTGTAAACTAAGCACATCAGGCAGGGAGCACTGACTAAAGAAAGACACCGTTAGAGCAAGTGCACATGTGCCGGATAACCAGAACGTTCCTACGGTGCTAGCAGTGGAACACGGGGCCTTGAGCTCGAGAGGGAGGCACCACACTCCAGCTCTGGCCCACAGTTCTTCGATACAAATATGATCTTTTCAGTCATGTTCTACTGGGCCCACAACCAATGGCACAGTGTGACACAGAGAGCAGAGACTGAATCAACATTTGCTGAAATAACCTAGGAGGGAGGGATGATCTGTGTAGGAGATCTCTGGTCACTGGAGCAGTAACCAGAGAAGGGTAAGTTACAAAGCATCGCACAAAACAAAATGAGAGAGGTGATCAGAGTGGATATAATGAGCAGTAAGAGAGAGAACCTTTCAGTTATGAGAAGAACCAACTGAAGAAACGCAAGGACAGGAGAAGTGAGCAAAGAGTCAGGGATCTCATCTCTACCATAACTGAAGGGTGATGCCCATACTACTTCCACAGGTGCCTCCCTTCAGCCCCTGTGACAGAGGAGGAGACATAGATGGAAAGTGCCCCAAAGGAGATGACATTGCTGGGATGCTACTAGATTGAGTGACCTTGTATAATAAGAAGTATATTAAATGAATTTCTGACTCTAAGACATAAAATACATGCAGGCTTTTTTTCACGTAAGTCTTACTGAACACAAAAAAGTCATGAAGTAACTTAAATCCAATTATTTGCTTACGGAGAAAGAGCTGCCATAATTTCACACAGCTGAGGAATTATCTAACATTACCAACCCTAAGAACATCAGGAGAATCACTGAATGTGGCAGCCAAACAACAACACAGCCCCCAAATAGGCTATTTTCACCACTGCTTACATATGAATATCTAACTGTAACAAATACCTATTAAACACTTTCCATGTACCTGGCAGCTTGTAAAAGACTCCATGCTCCTAATCCTCACCTGACTTTACATTCCAGTATAAAAGAAAAACTACAAATAAGTAACACAAGGCAAGGTAAGTCAGTGCTTTGAGATTAGAGACAGATAACAAAGAAGAGAAGAATTTAAATTTTTCTAGTGTTCCATTCACTATTTTTCTATACTTCCTATGAACAGAATTTGCTAGATCTCAAAAAGAATATTACATGGTCATCTTGGACCCTGGGAAAATATTCAGAGCTGAAAAAACACAGTGTGAGATGGCACCACTATGTAAAAGCTTTTAAAACTGACATCATTCCTCAGCATTATACAATTTGAACTCCAGTCACACTCATTCTTTCCTGTGTTCTTTCACAAAGTCTAACCTGTGACCATGACAGTGCGAATGTTGGCTTTATGCAAATCTTCAAGTACTGCAGGGGTTTCTTGCTTTAATTTGTTCTGCATTATAATTAATCCCATAAAATCCATGTTGTTTTCAATGGCATCTCTGCAGAAAAAGAAGTTTTAACACATAATGGTTTAGTCAAGAGAACAGGTGTTGCTCTCTTTATGTTGACAATTTAAAACATCTACATATTATGAAGTAAAACATTTTATATGCTGAATAAACCGTGTGTGTGTTTACAAGTTGAATATCTCAAAAATTTTCAATCTGAAAAAACAATTCCCCAAAACTACTTCTGATATACTAAAATAAAATTTTATTCCTTTGAAACATGAAATACAAGGATCAATTGAAAATGTAAAATACTAAATATCCTACTCGGAAATCCAAAAGCATATCCTGTCCCTCATAAGACATACCGTAATTTAAATGTTAAGTAAAAGGCGGAAAAATTTGAACCACAAGCACAGCTGGAAGTTACAGTAGACGCATTATCAAGTCTCCACCAACTCTATAAACAATTCTTTTTGTTTTGTTTTTGCTTTTGCTTGAGACAGGGTCTCACCAGGTAGTCCAGACTGGCCTCAAACTTGTTCTGATCCTCCTGCCTCAGCCTCCCAAGTGTTGGGAGGCATGTGCCACCAATGCCCAGTTCATAAACAATTCTTGATCCCAGATACATGATACCAGAACTATTACTATAGTAGTCCACACAGTGAGAACTATTCAGGACCCCGGAAGAATCTTCTAGAACACTGATAATACTGTTATCAAGGTAGTATTCTTCAAACAGTTGAGTCTACTATGTATTAGCACCATGCTAATTACTGGAAAGTCAAAGGTGAAAAGGCATGACTCTCTACCTTCAAGACACTTCTGTGGGGAAGTAGGATGCAACTAATGAGATACTAAACATGCAAAAATAACACGTACTTCAACAATGTAATGGAGATGAATTCTGTTGCATACAGTCACATTGGTATGAAATCTCAAGCTACTAAAACTATACTATAGAACCTTCTTTTTGCAATGGGGAAAAGGGACTTGATGTTAGCAACTAGAATTTCTTATTTACAATAAACAAGTGATTTATCCACACAAGAATTAATAATAAAGGTGCTGGAGTATATACCTATGAAACCTAAATATCTTTGGAATATATAATTTATAACAATGGGTAGGTAGTAAAGATATTAAGGGTTAGAGAACTTAAAAATGAATGATGCTGTTGGTGTTAACAGAAGAAAAAAGCCACAACACCTGAAACAATCTTCAAAGCCCCACGCTGTATGCCAATGATAAACTACTGGGGCAAAAGCACTAGGTCATTGTCCTATGAGATACTAGCTCCTAGATTCAGCTGGTCTTCTGAATCTCTCACAAGTAATACAGGTCATGGAAATCTCACCCTTCAACTAAGAAAGAGAACAATATTCAAGATATAAAGGCTTAAGCTGTGAGAGAAATGTTAAAACCTATACCCTACAAAGCAGAACAGCAACATGGAAGTCTTGGTGGCTAAAGAATGAGGAAACCTGGAAGTAGAAAGAAAAGGTAGACTAGGAGGGACAGGAGGTTCTGGGCAGAACAAAGAGCCTAACCAAGAGCACGGAAGGACGACTGACAGGCTCAAGACCCACAGGCAATCCAACCCTCTTTAAGGGGCAAATGGCAAAAGGTGAAGCTATGAAGAGAGAATGTGCCCTTTGGGGAAATTACAATATATTATAGGTCTACAGCTCCCACCTGGGCCTATGCCACAGATCACTGGGAAAGGTTTTATGTTTGGTTTTTCTGCAACACTCAAGCATAGACTGTCTCCCCACAACAGGCAGAGTTAGCAGGAAACCACAGGATACTCCTTTCTGCTTAAAAAAATGCAAGTACACTTTCAAAGGTACACATGGATCAGTTACAACAAAACAAACAATCCTTGAAATGTGAAATCTACATTTATGGAAGGAAATGTGATGTCCACAATGCCATCTGAACAGAGATCGAGAGAAATGGGGTGGAAGGAAGAGTACTGAGTAGTGACCATGACACTGACCAAATATTACCTGGATCCAACCACTGGGCAAAAGCAAGATCATTTGAGGAAAATAAACTTCTGTAGAACTATTCTATTCCTCCAACATTCATGACACACGTACACATTTGAGAAATATTTAACAAACAAATTGAAAGTAGTTCCAAAAGTTGTAAGGAAAAACAGAATTTTACAATAAGCAAACATATACAAAAAGTCAATATAAAATGAAAAGAAACTGGATAATGAGGAAAATATACATAATTTTAGCTTAATCACTTAACATAGTATTGTGTCACATACACGGATAGGTTCAATAAATATTTACATTCTTTTTTTTTTTTTTTTTTTTTTTGCGGTACCAGAGATCAAACTCAGGACCATGCGCTTGCAAGGCAGGCAACAGCACCACTGAGCTAAATCCCCGGCCAATAAATACTTAATAAATAGCAAACTACAGGCAAATTATTGTGCATGACTTATATAAACACAAACAGTGCACTACTGGAAAAGCTGTAGGAGAGCTGGACGACCTTACCTGCTAATGTTCTGTACTTTATGCCATGTCAGTTTGGATTCCAATTTTCTGTGTGCAAGAGCAATCACACGGAAACCCTGTTTAGTATACTCTTCCAAAACTTTCTCAAAATCAACAGGAACTAAAAGAGAAAAAGGCAATTTCACTGTTAGAACTGCTAACAGCAGCAAGTGCAAAGCCTCCCTTTCCACCTGGGCATTCCCTCACCTGTCTCAGGTCTGCAGAGGCTGGCGATGGCCTCGGGGGCCCCTTTCATGTAGGCGTCCATCTTCTTCTCCCCTAGCACCTTGGCGACCACACTCATGCGTTGTAAAGCGGAAGAAAATGGGAACTGGCGAACAATTCCTATCTCATAAATAGCCTACACAATTTCAAAAGACGTACAAAGCACGTATTATTCTTTAAGAATACAAACAAATATACCTACGTAACAAGAAAACATTCTTCACTTACTGGAAGTTCAAACAGCTCCTATAAACAAAAGAAAGTACATATTAAGTCCATTAATATACTCAAGTTAGAAATAACTTAAGCATCCACAAACCTTTACTTGGAGAATAGCAAGGAACTTCATTATTTCCATTAGGATTCAAGATTACTTGTCTACCACTCTCATGAAATAAAGTACAGGGATCATATTTTCAAAATTCATCAAAAAACAAAGCCTTTCTTATTAAAGGCTTCTTTTATTATTTTTATGCAATTTTAGGAATACAAATGCAACTTAAAAGACCGGACCATCACATGTTTAAGTCAGCAGGCGCTAAAGCTGCTTAGTAAAGGGAAAAGTATAAATCTCAACCTTTTACAAAATTACCTGTTCAATAACAGAGGTATGATTTTAGATAAACATGGACGGCTACAATTTCCCCTTTTGCATAAGATTAAATAAAAGACATCTGACTCTTTCTGGCAACATTTCCAAATGAGAGCTAAATGTAGGGAAGCATCATCAGCATCACCCAGCATTCCCTGGTGCATACCATTTCTTCATTTCGTGCTGGTATGGATTCAGGAAGTAGCTGCTTAGGAGGACGAACCACAGTGGGCATAATCCGATTATGAAGTGCTGTTTCTTCTTCAGTTGCTTCTTCCAGAATCTGAAAGGAAAACATTCAACATCCTGCTTCATAAAATTGAATCACTGGTTTCAGTGACTGTAATGGCCATTTTCAATAAATTTGTTAAAAAGTGCTGTCCAATAAACAAATGAACAATACAAGATGATTAAGATAAACAGAGCTAGCTAAGATACCTACCAATCCATGGGAAGGGTGAAACAGTGTTAAGAAATAGAGTAAAGATATAGAAACAAACATCTTTCACTGTGCTTTCACAACTTCTTAGGTTTAGAGACTGGCTTTGTGAAAAATAAATGCTTCTTGCAACCACAAGAATTTTGTCTATCATATGGGGATGGCTTTCTACCAATGGAAGATTCTTCCCTAGTACAACCACTAGGTCAAGAACGGGCTGAGGGGGCCGGGGATTTAGCTCCGTGGTGATGCACCTGCCTGGGAAGCGCAAGGTCCTTAGTTCAATTTCCAGTACCAAAAAAAAAAATGATCGGGCTGTGGGTCAGGCTTGGTGGAGCACATCCATAATTTCAGCAGTCTGGAAGGCTGAAGCAGGAGGGCTACAAGTTCAAGTTCCACATGGACAACCCAGTGAGGCCCTGTCTCAAAAATTTAAAAACCAAACTAAACGAAAAATATAATCAACAAGGGTTAGGGAAATAGCTCAGTGTGAAGGCCCTGAGATGAATCCCTAGTACAGCACCAGAAAAAAAAGGAATAGGCTGAGGTACAAACACTTATTTCAGCTTAATCACTTCTAGTTAAATTACTACTACACCTGAACCCCTTGGAATTTACTTGAATAACACTGGGGAGGGGGGTCCAACAGGCAGGGGTATAGCTCAGTGGGTAAGAGTGCATAACTAGTATGTATGAGGCCCTGGGTTCAATCTCCAGCAAAAATTTTCTAAAAATACTTTTTAAACAAACCCTTCTATTAAATACACATATAACAGGAACAATAAACTAATCTGACTCTATAACTGGAGGGTTCAAACAATGAAAACTGTGTGAGGGAAACTGTGCCCAACTAGCCAGTTTTATAAATTCTACACCCACACACAAACATTTCAAATCTCTGGACCTGGATGCACCTTCATTCTACAACGACAATCATGTAAGCAGCTGTGGTGCCTAGCTGGCTCTGTTCTGTTGACAGGACAAACCCGGTCATGTCACTCACCAAAGCACCTCACAGCCATGAAACATGCTGCTACACAAACTTCCGTATGAAACCCATTTTTTTTAAAAGCTCAAACACTGCACACTGTTATCTATTATCTGTTTCATTGAAGAAAGTTTAGGAGCTTCAGAGAAATCAGCCCTATTTTGCTTTTCTTTCTATAAAAGAAATGGGGCTTCCTTTCAGGAACTAAACTTCAGTGCCATGAACTGTGAACCTTCACAAGATGGCAAAGAGAGTATTCAGCTAGTCATCCACTCCCTCCTTTACAAAAGCCTAACAAAATACCAAAAAGAATTTAAAAAGTAAACAGAAAGCCAAGGAGGGACAGGGGCAGGTTTCAAACATGGACACACAGGGTGAACTGCACAGTGCTGACTGACAGCGGCGAAGGTAAGAGTGGCCCAAACACACACTGAGGGGCCACCACAGCTGACTGAACCGTGCTGAGAACAGAGCACAGCAGAAGTCAGGCAGCTTCTCCGGACAGACAAGGCGAGGGCTGCCAGAGCAAAGCTCTTGGTGAATAAGCACAGTGACAGTGTGACCGCAGCATGCTTGGTGAGGGGACCTCACAACACAGAAAGCCCCGGGCAACCTCACCACCGTGACCCACAATTACAACCCAGCCACGTTGTACTTGAGTGGAAAAGTACTGACAAGATACGCAATGAAAACCAACAGCAAGAAGGAGAGAGCCCAAGAAATAAAAAAAAACAAAACAAAAAAACCCGTTGCCAGGGAAAATAAAAGCAATTATCACATCTATAAAAGAAATGAACCGCACATCATCACACATGCCTGTAATTCCAGAATTCTGGAGGTTGAGGCAGGAGGATCACAAATTTGAGGCCAGCCTAGACTATATAATGAGACCGAAGAATGAATGAATGCCATAAAATGGTAACAACCAAAGAACCACACACTTACAAATTAAAATTACCAGTGGCAAAAGTAGAAGGAAAGTGTAAATCAGTATGCACGTGCACACGCAAGCAAGTGGAAGATGGGAACAGAAGAACACTGAGGACGGAAGGCTGCTGGATACTTTTATTCTGTGCCAACAGATTCTGCCACATAAGGCAGTGACACTTCTAGTTCACTGCACATTTCTACATCTCTGCATAATTCACTCTTTTAACAGTCACAGAACTGAGGGTTAATCTTTCTGTGAGGTCATTTAATTTTCACTGCACTTTCCTGAAGATCACTTGTCCCGTGAGATGCAGAGCTTACCCATCCAATGGCTTCGAACATCTTCAAGTCCAGGGGGTCACCAGAAAGCACTCCTTCAATCTTTGTAAGGGAGTGACAAGTACCCATGCACGCGACAAAGTGAGATTTCACCAACATCTCGTTGCAAACATTTTCTTCTGGCAAAAGAAATCTAAACAGAAATACACTCAGTTAGGTTCATAATAAATCCCTAGCAGGGCTTTTTAGGCTTTGTGAAAAAAAAAAGGTGTCAATTCAAAAGTGAGCTCATAAGAAAGGGAAATTTCCATGTACCAAAAATAGAGGGAAACAAACCCAGAAGGTTGTGAGCAGAGCCCATGCTGCAGCTGTTGAGGAGGAGGAAGGGTGGAGTCCACCATGGCACCTGGTGGACTGGGGTTTTAGCCACACAACAGGAAACAAAGTCCTGAGCACATGTGAAACGGGGTGCTCACACTGACAGAACCCCTCTCACCCAAGAATGCTAGTGCTCCTGAAGAGCTATGCATTGCAGGAGAGGAGCCCACTAGTTTACCCATCAAACCAAAAGCACAACTAAGTGTAAGCTTATCTCTTCCACCACCCAAAGTTCAAAAGCTAGTATTATTCGATAAAGTGATACACACTGTAATCTCAGCACCTTGGAAGACTGAGCCAAGAGGATTTGGAGGCTGAGGCAGGAGTTTCAAGCCCAGCCTGGGCAACTTGGCAAGACCACGTCTTAAAGTGGCTAGAGATACTTCTCAGTGCCAAGGCCCTGGGTTCAAGTCCCAGTACCGCAGAGGGCTGGGGCGCTAACATCCATGTTGTATGTCCTACCTACCAGGCACTGTTCTAAGAGCTTCACATACAGAGACTCACTTCCTTCTCACAGCACAGGAAGGGTTTGATTATCCCCACCACAGACCAGGGGACTGAAGCAGAGTGGTGCAGTAACTTGTCCAGGGTTGCACTGCCTGTCAGCAGCTGAGCAGGGACTAAAAGACAAGCCCAACTCTGAGCCACTACACTCTACAGCACACAGCAGGGTTAAACACACAGTGCTGCCTGGCTTCAAGATCCCCAAACTAAGAGAGCAACAGTGATGCTGGCCTGGTACCACACACATCACGGGGTCCTTGGCCAAGCAAGGAGGAAACTGTTCTAGAGGGGAACCCCACGATTAGCCATGCGAGTGGCTCACAGAAAGGCCAGCTCAGGATCAGCCTATCATTCTAAGGCACTCGAGGAAAACCTCATTGGATTGTCAACAGAAATAATGATGAATCTGAATGCCATAAATCTGAGATCATAAAATGGCAACCAAAAGAATGCCATAAAACACAAGACTGCAAGGAAAGCCGGGGCAGACTAATGAAGAACCAAGTGAAGCTACTCATCCAGAATATGGTTAGGATGCTCAGACAGAAAAGGAAACAAAGAAAGGGGAAAAGCCACAGTGAAAGGGTAGAGGCTGAAAACTCTCCACAATTTATGAAACACATGAATCCTTGGGATTTAGAAGCAAAATGAGTCCCATAAAACAATACATGAGCAGGCCAGGTATTTAGCTCAGTGATTTCACTGCCTGCTGTGCAAGCACAAGCACCAGAGTTCAATCCCCGGTACCAAAAAACACACCAAGAGCATGGTGTAATTGCAGAAATCAAGGATTAAGAACAAGAGATAAAGTGGACTACTAGAGACTAGGACTTCCCTAGCAGTAACAAAAGTTGTCAGGAGAAAAGAGTGAACACCTTCCAAGTACAGAGAAAACACAACTGTCGACCTAAAAATCTGAACAGTTATGCCATCTCTTTTTTTGGTACCAGGGATGGAACTCAGGTCCTTGTGTTTGCAAGGCAGGCAGCAGAACCAGAGCTAAATTCCCGGCCCCAGCTATGCCAGCTTTGAAGAGTGACAATGAGAGTGGGCACAATGGTGCACGCCTGTAATCCCAGCACTCTGGGAAGGTGAGGCAGGAAGATCCCGAGTTCAAGCCCAGCCTGAACAACTTAGTGACTCAGCAAGATCTGGTCTCAAAATAAAATAAAATAATTAAAATCAAAAAGGCATGAAGTTAAAGCTCAGTGTAAACTCCCTGGGTTCAGTCCTCAGTACCACACACAAAAAAAAGTGAAACCAACTTAATGAATGTAGTAGTTACAGAAGATAATTTAAATTTGAATTTTTTTTTTTTTTTTTGGTACTGGGGATCGAACTTGGGTCCTTGCGCTTGCGCGCAGCAGGCAGCAAAACCACTGAGCTAAATCCCCTGCCCAACAGAAGATAATTTAATGGGATACAAGAAACTATGATTAAGGTGCTTACAAACCTATGTAAGTCCAAGCACAAAGAATATATAAAACCAAAATGATAATCATAAAACATTACACAACAAATATGCATAAGGGAGAGGAACAGGCAGGGTAAAATTCACCTACAGCATAGGTTTTTGGGGGATTGAGAAGACAGTACAGACATCTAAAACTTAAGGCCCTAATTATGAATATTCATTTAAGAACAGGTAATAAAAGATTAGGATGCATAAATTCTGAGAAAATAAGGGAAAGAATTTAAATTAAGCAGAATTTAAGGCAACGTGTGTTACTGGAATAAATAAGGTTGCAACATGACTAGAAGACAGAACTCCTGAAACTGCACAACCAAATAACAGTCTCTCAACTACCTAAACCAAAATCTAGCAGCTATTTGAAGAGAAAAGTACGACATGAACACAACTACAGAAGTAAAACTTCTGAGCTTCAAAGACAATAAAAATAAAGTAAGAAGATGAGCCTGAGATTGGCAGAATAAATCTGCAATACACAGTACCAAAAGAAGTTACAACCCAGAAAATACACAGGACTTCTAGCAAATGAAGACAGCAGATAAAGGAACCACATAAAAGAAGGAAGATATAAACAGACAGTATAGAGAATGCTAAATGGGCATGAAGCACACGCCTGTAGTCCCAGCAGTCGGGAGGCACTGGGAGGATTGCCACGAGTTTGAGGTCAGCCTGGGCTACACCGTGAGTTCAGGGCCAGCCTGAACTACATTGCAAGAGCCTGTCTCAAAAAACAAAGAGTGCTAAGTGATCCTGCTCTGAAAATGTAAAAAGATGCTCAACTTTGTAAGTAATGAAGAGAATACAAATAAAGATGCAATGAAACAGCCATTTCATACCCATCCATTTGGCAAAAAATTACATGCCTGACAATACCTAGCTTGGCAAGGATGTGGAGCAAGAGTATCTTTGCCCTGGAAGAAGAGCACAAACAGGCTCTGCCACCTCGCAGTTAGGCCAGGCCTGGAGGCAAAGCAGAAGCTGAGCCCAGTGGACACTGCATCCACACTTGGAGGCAGCTGGGCCCACGCCCAGCCACACACTCTCACTTGTCTGTAAGGTTTCAGTCACAGCACTACTTCTGAAAGCACAGGGAAGAAAGAGAAAACATGAAACTGGCCCTAGTAGAAAAGATACTATGGTTTCATCGTAATGGAATATAGAGCAATTAAAATTAATCCATTAGATCCATACTCATCAACATGAATCTTTAAAGTAATTTAAAAGGGGAAAAATAACAAAAATCACTAATACCATTCAAAACATATACCATGTATATGTTCTGAAAATAAAAATAAAAAAATGTATGTTTTGAAAATAAAAAATATATGCAAAAATAAAAACTTCAGAATGGTGGTAGGAATAGGAAAAGGGATAGAAAGGGACTCTAATTATTTCTGAATGTTTCAATCTTTTAAAAGAAATCTGAAGTAAATATGGTAAAACATCAACTGCTTAGTCTTGGTGGCAGGACACAGTTGTGTGTTATATTACTTGTTATGTTTGAAGGCTGCATGTGCTAAAATAGTAAAAATCAACTAACAATGCATCGCATCTAGCTAATATTTACCGCATATTCTCCACTCGTTGAATCCCCCACAGATCTAAGCCATCTTCAGTAAGAGTTCCAGTCTAAAATAAAAAAGTACACAAGCACCAAGTAAGAACAATGTGTCAAAAAGTAAAAAAGAGACTAGAAAGAAAGAAAGAAAAAGAACAATGAATGTGTCAAAGAAGAAAAACTCCAAATGCACATGTCAGTGAAAACTGCTACATATACACAGGGGAGTTCTACAGAGTTTCAAAGAAAACAAAGAAAAGGAAAGACAAGATCTCCATACACTGAGGGAGAAGGACTTCCAGGATGTACGAAGTGTGATTGAAAAATACACTGAAAGTTTAAATTTTACAAATTTATTACAGTAAATGACAGTGCCATGAAAGCGTATTAAACTGCTATCTTTTCTCAAATTTTGCGTCTATTTAAATGTTTTAATAAAGGAAGATTCCAGGTATCCAGGCACAGTGATGGCTATCTGTAATCCAAGCATTCAGGGAGACTTAGGCAGGAGGATCACAAGTTCCAGCTCAGCCTGGGAAACTTAGACCTTGTCTCAAAACAAAAGGTACAAAAACAGCTGGGGATGTAGCTAAGTGGTGGGGTGCTCCTGAGTTCAACCTCCCATTATTACAAAACAAAAAAAAGATTTTAGGTGCTGCAGCTCAGTGGCAGAATACATGCTTACCATACATGTAAGGCCCTGGGTCAATTCCCAGTACTCAAAAAAGAAAAACAAGTTTCCAAAAAGGATAAACATAAATACATTTTCTAAGCAGACGAAACAGCGATGCCAGCCAGGGCCAGGGATGTAGCTCAGCGGCACAGCACCTGCCTGGCAAGTGCGAAGCCCGGAGTTCAATTCCCAGTACCCGCAAAAAAACAAAACCAAAAACAGTGATGCAAGTATTTTGGTTTTTTTTCAAATCACGCATTTCTCATGTTTTCTTTACTAATGAAATCCTCAAAATCAAATTCTTCCAACAGTCACCTAAAATAGTTTAATGGAAAGATTTTTGGTTAAGATTTCTCAAAATCAAGCTTTTAGAAAAACTTAATTTCACTCCAGCAAAGAAATCTTTGTTCTTAAGAGGCAAGAAGGTATACTTCACATAGGTATACAATTCTTTTCATATAAAACCATAAAATCACTGACATTCATACTTTTGAAACATACTGTTTAGTCAAAATCATGGTGCAAACACTAAAAGCACACGCATGCATGCACGCGTGCACACACACACACACAATCCCCCCCACCACTTTTCTTTTTTGGTACTGGGAATCGAACCCAGGGAATTGCACTTGCCAGGCAGGCGTTGCACTGCTAAGCTACATCCCTGGCCCCAAATGCACATATTTTTGAGCAAAAAAAAAAAAATCACACTAGGAGCCGGGGATGTGGCTCAGTGGTACCGTCGCCTGCCTCATAAGCATAGGGTCCTGAGTTCGATTCTCAGTAACAAAAAAAAAAAAAATCACACTAAATATATACATATGGAGCCAATTCTGTTAAACTAGGATTATCTAAAAACAGAAAAAAACTATATAATTTTTACTATCATTACTATAAGAAGATATAATTCTGGATGCAAGCAATTAGTCAACTGCAGACATATGCCAAGTAAGCAATACCCAAAAACTTAAAAAACTGAGGAACAAGGAATACTTTTTAAATGATAGATAAGCTAAATAAGCTGAGGAAGAGGAAAATTAGAGGAACATTAAAGAACAATATCAAGTCAGTTATGGAAAACAATACTTAAAAGCTACACAGCAAGTAACCTTTGAGAATGATTATGAAACCAAACCAACCTTGTCAAAACAAACCAGATTGAGCTGTCCACATATATTTATCCTTTGCGGACTGATACAGAAAATACCAACTGTTTTCAATCTCCTCTGAGCATACACAATACCAGCAGTCATTGCGGCAGGAAGTGCAGGGGGCACAGTAATTGTAATGATGTCAAGAGACTCAATGATTATTGTCCCAACTTCTACCTGCAAGACACAAAAATAAGCTCAAGCTCCTATTATTAAACATTTACTAATTTAAAGCCAGGCGTGGTGGCGCACACCTGTGATCCCAGCATTGGAAGGCCGAGGCAGGAGGATCAGTGTTGGGTTCTAGGCCAGCCTGGGCTACACAGTGAGTTCAAGGCCAGCCTGAACCATACAACACCCTGTCTCACAAAGCCAAAACTAAGTGAATAAATAAAAATTTACTAATAAATTAGTATTAAATTAGCATAGGTATTTCTCTAGTGAAAATTTATAAACATTTAAAATTTCACATATAACCATGTATGTGTATATTATATCTATACATATACATACAAAAAAGCATATATATATATATATATATATATGTAAGCACACACATATATACACACACACATCTATTAATGGTTTATATTTTTTTTTCCTTCAGAGATTCTACAAAATAGCTGAATAAATTGTTAAATGGATTACAGAACGAGGAAACTTCTGCTGAGAAGGCAAACTCCTCTCGTTCTTCACACGTCCCACACTTCAAACCACATGCAACATACTTTTTCAGATACTGACTCATCCTACAAGTACCATACTGCACCAGCCTCCACAGGGAACAGGAAAGAGAAATTTGTTAGGTACAGTGGTGCATGTTTATAATCCCAGCTACTCCGGAGGCTGAGGCAGAAAGACCTCAAGTTCAAGGTTAGCCTGGCAGCTTTGTGAGACTGTCTCAAAATAAAATGAAAAAGACCTGGTGACACAGTTCACGGTAGAGCACTTGCCTGGTATGCACAAGACCCTGGGCTCAATCCCCAGTACCACAAAAAGAGGAAGGGAGGAAAGGAGGAAAGGACCTGACAACATACCTTAGTGGCTCCTTGTGAAGTGTTCAAAAATAACTTATTGCTATGTAATCTATCCCAAAAGTAAAAAAAGAAAAAATATATAAAGTTTTTGGTGTGTGTGCATTTTTTTTCTCTTTTCCTTTAAGTCACAAAAAGGTAAGCAGAAGACCATCTAAATCAGAGCCTTCCAAAACACCGTATGCTAAGATGGAGCTGTTTATATCTGTTTTCTAATTTAATAGCTACTAGCTTCACATGGTATTTTTCAGAGCAAATCAGAATTAGCCTAAAAATGGAGTTCCGCAGTTTCACTAGCCACATTTCAAAATCCTCAATAGCCACAGGTGATAATTAAGACATGAACCCTACTGAGGTCCCACATACATACCTCATTTAAAATATTATTGATAATTGTGTAGATGAACCCAATGCCGGCCACGCCCACAAGACACAGCAGAAACAAGTAAGCATCTCTGTAGAGTTTAAAGTCAGTTGGTTTGGGATACAGTATGGAACGGACAAGCTGTCCTTTGGAAGTACTAAATCCTTTCAAAAAATTAAAGAGAAAAATTACTTATGTTTTTACAAGGAAATGAGAATTATCTCCCAAAACAGTTACTGTTGTAAACATTCACTGGGTATCAAATAGGCTTTTTAAAAAATGCAAGAGATTAAGTATTTACATAGAGACCATAATGCTAAGTGAAATAACTCAAGACACAGGAGGTTAAATATAGTATGATTTCTCCTTTTTTTTTTTTTTTTTTGGTATCAGGGATCGAACTCAGGTCCTTGTGCTTGCGCAGCAGGTGGTGAAACCACTGAGCTAAATCCCTGGCCCATGATTTCTCTTACACAAGAAACCCAAAGTATAAATAATGTAAAAGGATAGGAAGCAGGGAGATAGACTATGCGGAGACAGGAGCGGACCTGGAGTGGGGGACAAGGGGGAGGGAGCGCAGGGATAGGACAATGGATTGAGGTGTGATGTGTGGATCAGTTCCCCATCGGAACATCGTGCAGTATTCTCTACCTGTCCTGACCACGATGGCTTTCACAAGCTCTCCAGTGTAGAAGCGAGTCTGGATAACAGTTGTCCCACAGAACAGAGTATGCCGCTTATGTGTCTCTGGACTGTATATTTCCTCTCCTGTGCCTTTCGCATCCACTGAAGGATTTGGCAAATTAGTCTTTGTCACTGGAACACTTTCTCCTATTTAAAAAAAAAAAAAATCATAGAATCATTATAGGGAAGCACAGAAATAAGTATCAGACAAAAAACTGTGGAACATCTAAATGTTACAGTACTATTTACCATAGTTATTGAGAGTTCCACATGCAGACAACATAGCTTAACCAATTAGCTTTTTTATCTACCAACTGGTCAAATTTTGCCCCCACAATAATTACAGGAAGTGATCTGTTACTCAAAGATAGCACTTGTCACTAGGCATCATGGCGCACACCTGAATCCCTACTACTCAAAGTCTAAAGGAGGAGGCATGCAAGTTTGAGGCCAGCCTGGGCAACTTAGTGAGACTCTGTCTCAAAACTGAGGAGAAAAAGGAAAAGAAGGGGAGAGGGAGAGAAGGGGGGTGGGGAGGAAGAAAAGGCCTCAGGGTATAGCTCTGTGCTCCCTGGGTTCAATTGGCAAGCCTCTCCCTGGCCTCAAAAAAACTCCTGATTGTGAATTTGCAAAGGGAAGTCATTTGAAAGCCTACTTCTCCCCAGTTTAATGAAAATATAAAATCTTTATTTCCACTCTTTACACAACAAGTAAGGAAGCAAATATTCTGCATTCTCTGTGACAAAGAACTTTTCTCTTCTTCCCTTACTATAATGCCATTTCCTTACACCAAGAGGAGCCAAGGCAGATGGGGACAGGTGGCCAAAACCAACCACACAGGACGGAGCACCACAGTGGAGTAAAGGGCAACCTTCTCTAGGGTAAAACAAATCTCTAGCCCCCAGTAAAGGATATCAAGGAAAGACTGATTTTGACAAAGTTTCATCAGTACCTTAACACTATGACCATTATGAACAACAAGTGGCAGCTTCACTTACCTGTTAACATGCTCTCATTCACAATGCAAGTGCCACTAATCAGAACTGCATCACAAGGCATGACTGTTCCATTCAGGGGAATTACCATGACATCTCCTGGCACAAGGTCAGTAGAAAAGATTTCTTCTATTTCTGAATATAAAGAAAGAAAATATGAGAATGATATTCACTATGTTAGGAACAAATCATCTATCCAAAGGACTCCTTATCTCTGGAGGTTACTAGCAGAACAGGGTTAATACAGAACCCCCAAGATGGAGAATTCTGACGACCAGGATTAGGTGACAAGGCTCAGTACAAGGCTACTTTCTGAAGGGATCACCAATGGTGCCACGTCCCTTTGCACTTCAACACTCATGACAACTGTCCATCAAGCTCGGCTGTCGGCCGGCTCAGAAAATGAACACCACGGGCCCGTCTGCTCACACAGGTGAAATAAACTCAGATTTCTGAAATGCCATGGAAACAGAAGGAAACTTTGAAAAATTTTAGCATATTTTCAACAGCATATTTGAAGTATTATTTTCCTAAGTGCCATTATTTATAACCCTAACATCTCACTGCTTCCTCAATATTCCTTAGGAGTTTTTTAGGGGTATTATTTTCAGTATAACTACATTGATTAAATAGGACTGAGTCTGAAGCTCAGTAGTAGAGCACTTTCCTAGCATGTGTGAGGCCCTGGGTTCCATCCTCAGCACCACAAAAGCAATACATGTATTAAATTAAACACTGTAATATTTCCCTGGAAATTCAACTAAAATTTTAAAAACACCTCAGGGATAAAAGGTTTTTCAATCCGGTCACCTTATATTTAGCCATTCTCTCTCTTCCTCACACTCTTCTTCCCCCTCAGGTTTGATGCTGCTCTCAAAAGAGTTACGCTATTTTGTAAATACACGAGTGAGGAAGAAACTATTATTTCGTGCTTTTGGTCTGAAAGACAAATACTTTCCTTTCTAAGAAAAAAAAAGTTTACTAAATATTTTTGTACTAAATATTAATGAAATAACTTCTAATGAACAATATTTAATATATAGGTGTACTAATCTTCTTAAAATAAACAAAACCTTTATTTTAAAATACACTGATTGGGGCCAGAAGTGGTGGCACACGCCTGTAATCCCAGGACTCCGGAGGCTGAGGCAGGAGGATCATAGTGAGTTGCAGCCCAGCCTGGATTACATAGTGAGTGCAAGCCCAGCCTGAACTACAAAGTGAGACCTTGTCTCAAAAAACAAACGGAAAATAAAATAAAATACGCAGATTGACTTTTCTTAAAGCTTTAGCAGTACATGAAATTCCAGGCCTTTTCAGTAGCAGACCAGAAAGAGAAGTATGAATGAGACTGAAGACTACACGCAGAGGGTGGAGGAGGAAGCAGAAGAGCACAGCCTTCCTGCCACCCCAGCATCTTCAGCACCTCAGAGCCAGGAAGAGGAGGCATACAACCGCAAGCCTGCAGTGGGGGGTGCTAATGCCCCCAGCCTGAGGGGCAGGAGGAAGCACAGGCTCGAACCGTGGAGAGACAATACGGCTCCTGCTTCCATGGCTCCAGATGCCATGTTGCCTCCCCTTGTGTCTCTTGCATACCCACCCGACTTGACGTCCAGAACATCACCCTTCCTGGAATCCTGCTTGTCCTCCACTGCTCTCTATGTAACTAAGCAGCACCAACATAAAGCCCCAGCCGCCACCTCTCCGAGACCTCACCCTCAGTGATCACCAGGCGCTGTCCATGCCCGTAGCTATGCCTCTCTCATGCCTATCTCATCCTCTTGTCTCCTCAGTGCTGTCCTGACTCAGCTCAGCCCTTCAGTATCACCCCACAAACCCAGTGGAAACACAAGCCATGATTCTCTGGCAAAGGAGAAGTACGATCGCAGCATGCCTGCTTCACACCCTCCAGCGGCTTCCACTGCTTCTTCGATCGAGACTACATTCCTTACCAAGCCTTGTCCATCATCCATGCAGATGCTCTCTGCGCCATGCTCAATTTCTTTCCATTTTTATACTGACTGCACCACCTCTAATTTCAGGTCTCTGGATACAGAACTCTCTTCTCTCATCCTAACTGTACCAACTTCTCATCTACCTCTCATCTGGCTAATTCAAACAGTAACCAAGTAAAATCCTTCATCAAAACAGCCACCTCTGGCCTCTTTTTGGAGGGCCCGCAGTCCATTTTCTTTGAATGCATACTTTAAATTCTGCCTAATATATCCTTTTATACCTCTTTTTAAAAAAAAAAATCCACCCCTGCCAACACAGTAAATACACTTTCTCTAGCACGTAAGTTCTCATCATATTTATCACACTTTATTGGTACTGTTTATCGTCTGTCCTTCTAGCCAGAGTGGATAGATACCCACAGTGCCTAGCACACTGGAAGAAAAGAAGCTGGGTATGGCAGCACACACCTGTAATCACAGCACTCTGTGAGCCTGAGACAGGAGGACCCCAAGTCCATACCCAGCCTGAGCAGTGAAGTGAGACCCTGTCTCAAAGTCAAAAATGGCTGGGGATCGAGCTTGGTAGAAAGACCCTTGTTTCAATCCCCAGTGTTGCAAAAAATAAATAAAAACAGGGGCCAGGCATTTAGCTCAGTGGTTCCTCCTGGACACCTTGAAAGCACAAGGTCCTGAGTTCGATCCTCAGTACCAAAAAAAAAAAAAGTAACATTCTCCAGTAGCATTCCCCCAAAAAAATAAAGACAGAAAGACAGACAAAGAAAGGAAGCCAGAAAGAAAAATACAATTTTATATAAATGAATGATTTTGATCAAAACCTGGGAATGCAAACATGCACTTTCAGTTCTTAAATGAGTGTATGCGAGTGTGTCTATGTGTGTATGTGTATAAACAAATACACTGGGCTCACTTCACACATCAGCACTTAATGGTCTGGGGGTTTTGGTTTACACTTTGAATACTCACCGACGTACTTACCTTCATTTACTCTGCAAACTGAAACTCTCACGGTACTGTGAGTTGCCACCATGTCATGCAACATAACATATTGCTGAAAAAGGAAAAAACAAGCCACATGAACCCACTCAGACCCTGAAATGCCAGGTGCTAGAAAATATAGTAAGTGCCCATCGCTTTGCCTTTATACATTATCAAGAGTCAAAAGGATTATTCACTGTTCTAGCTCAAAACAGAGTGAGAAGCAACTTAAGAGAAAGCCCTGGAAACAGTCAACCAGCGTCTCTGTGCTGTAGTCTGTGCCAGCTTCTAAGCAGGCAGTGAGCTGACTCTCAACAGCATTGTCTCCAACAACAGTAGCAGGAAGAGACGGAAGTCTACACACAGGCAGGTAAAACACGACTGGTCCTGAGTGTTCACTCTGTGCCAATCACTACTCTACACACCTCACATGATATTACAGAACATGAACACAGTGTGACACCCGTAATAGATTGACTTACCTTTCTAATGGAACACAGTGAGGTTACAATGGACACCAGGGACATAATCACAATGGCTAAAGCATAGTAATAGTATTCATCAGTGCTCCACAATATAACACTAAACAGCTGGAAAATGTAAAATGGGTTCAGAACCTAAAAAATATACAAGATTTGAAGTCAAATTAAATGAGATATTTACAACTATGCAGATTCTTCACATTTCCACTTGAAAAGTAACCAACCAGCTACACATAGGATAAGCTCTAAAGGAACCTAGGACAACATGCACTGCTCTCTGAAGAGCAGGACAGTGTGTTAGTATTCTCATCTATCAGTGAACTACTAGAATTTGGCTAACTCAGATTTAAAGTATCTATATCCATGTAGATTCACACCAAACTTAAGCACAGATTCAGCTAGAACAAGCTGAAGTGTGTAAATTTAGCTGTTCTGCCTTAGGAATAAAGTGTATTCATTTCTGATAATTACTATGCTCTGGGTTAATAAAAGATACCAAACAGGACAAATGCTTACTTATGAACTCAAAACAGAAATGTGCCTGTATGTCAAAAGTTCACTGAAAAAAAAAAAAAAGTTCACTGAGTTGCAAAGGAAAAACAACTGTGAGAAAATGGACCAAACTGCTTGCTTTCTCAATGAAAAGTATTAAGGACTAAATCTTGAACGAAAGTAAGATAAGGGAGCCCTGGGTCGGGGATTTAGCTCAGAGGTGCCGCCACCTGCCTCGAAAGCACAAGGTCCCGAGTTCAATCCCAGGGACCAAAAAAAAAAAAAAGATAAAGGAGCCCTGACAAAAAAACTTAACCCAAGTTTCATTTTACTTCATCAACTTTATTAAGAAACTCCCAATGTCTTTTTTAAAAGTTTATTTGGAGAGAGGAGAGGCAGAAACTGAGACTAAACCCAGGGCCTCACACATGCTAATTACATCTCTGGTATCGTCCCCCTGAAGTCTTAAAACTGATGCTTTTATACTTTTTCAAAGCATTTTGATAACAGTACCATTTTACCTCAAAACTAATGAAATATTTACAAAAAAAACTTTTCTAATTTTATAAATAAAAGAGCAACAGAGAAAGGTGCTTGGGTAGGGGGTACTGGGGATTGAATCCAGGGCCTTCACACTGACCTGTGTCCCCAGCCTTTTACTTTTTGAGGCAGAGTCTCACTAAGTCGCTAAGTTGTCTGGGCTGCCCTTGAACTTGTGAGCTCTCACCCAGAATGCTGGAATTACAGGCATGGGCACCAAACCCAGCCACAGAAGGTTTCTGAAGATCAAAGCTGGCTACTAGGATGGCAGTGTCTGTGCGTGTACATGTGCATGTGTGTGTGCATGTGTTTGGGATTGCACACTCTTGCATGTTCAAGGCCATGGGTTCAATCCCCAGCTCTGGGGAAAAAAAAAGAAAAAAGACCAAAGTGAAACTGATGGGACCATACTACAAATCAGGCTTTCCCAGTTCCTCATCATCCACTCTGATCCAGCTGTAAGCAATATTAGATGGCCACACTAAAGAAACCGATCTTATTTCTACTAGAAGTATTCACCCATTACAATTACACTTAATCTGACTGATAGCCAAAAACCAGAACAAAGACTGGCCAGCTTTTGTCGCTAGGCAAAGTCACTTGCTCTCTTCCTTTTGTGTTTAGAAACCTTCATCACTTCTCTGGCACTGAACTAGTACCGCGCTGTTCCCTCAAGTCAGTCATCACGCCAGGCTCCGTACTCTAACCTTCGTGTTCTGCCGCTCACTGTCCAATAAAGCACCAAAACACACCATGGGAAAACATACATTTTTAAGGGGTGGGGTGGGGGGGGTGTCAATAAAAATAAAATTAGATGAAATAAAATTCATACCCAAAATTTTCTCAGAGTAAAGTTTTTCTCTACTCTTACCCTCAAAGTAAAATAGCAAGCAAAGAGAAGTTAGGAAACAGAAAACCAAGACTATCTCATTAACCATGACTTCCCAAACTGACAAATCTATTGCTACCAAATGCTGAACTATATACAACTCTTACCTCTTTAATTAGAAGCTTAAAAACAGAAGGCACTTTCACAGTAATTTCATTTATTCCATAAAGCAATTTTCTATAACAGGAAAATACAATAATAATAATGTTACAATATATAATTTAACAGTAGCATAACTTAGGAAAGGCATTTAGTTAAGTTCATACCATGGGACACTTTTAAATTCATGCTTCTAAAAACTTCTGTTCTACACTTAAAACTTGTCTCTATCTATACAATTTAAATTGAAGAAATCAACAATGGATAACCATACTGTTTATTTTATTTCATTCTGTCTCATACCTTTAGCGGGTGACACGTATCTTTCCCACCAGTCAATAATAACCACATAAGCAGAAGGCTGTCTGCTCCATTTGTGAACAAAATAGGCCTTAACAAAGTTTGAAAACTTTGAAAGAGAAGTAAATGTGAGGAATTCATGTACTACTTTTCTAAGAATACTGTACTAAGAGTATTTATTTCAGAACATTGTACATTTGACTTTAAGGGAAAATATGCTTTTAAAACATTCCTTAGCTGAGTGTGGTAGTGCTGCTGCCTGGCACAGGAGGATCTCAAGGTCAAGCCTAGCCTGGGCAATTTAAAAAATAAAAAATGTGCTGGGGATCTAGTGCGAACACCCTAGGTTCAATCCCCAGTACTGCTAAAAAGGAAAAGAAAGTTAATTCCTCATCACTGTACCTATTATGATATAATAATTTCTGCTTTTTATAGAACGTAAGTCTAAATGGATTCTTTTGTTGTACCCTTCAAGAACAAGCTACAGAAATACTACAAGAAAAATTCTAATTTAATCCAAAACTGGCATTTATCTTTAAAATATCTAATACACCGGCAGACTTTTATGCTTTAACAAAGAATAACAACAAAAATATGTGACTCCTAATTTACAAATTTTCATTGTGGTAAATCTAAGTTCATCCCTACAGTCCCAATATATCTCAAAAAAATCAAAGATGTTTTTAGTTTATAAGACATACCACTATTTTATGTATGATCAAAAAGATTTTTTGTCAAACAAATAATGATACTCCACTAACTATATACAACATCCCAATTTCAGAGATATTAAACTATGGGAGACTGAACATTCAAAGTGATGAAACAGTGTGGAATTTCAGAAATATCCACTTCAATATTAGCTTTAACATTTTTATGATTATTAAACTGGAGACATTTTAGGGGCCGGGGATTTAGCTCAGTGGTTCCGCCGCCTGCCTTGCAAGCGCAAGGACCCGAGTTTGATCTCCTGTACCAAAAAAAATAAACTGGAGACATTTTTATTTGAGTAAAATATCAGTAGTTCTCAACTCATCATCTGTAATATTTAAAACCTGTTAATAGGTACTACACAGTAATGGGATGACTACACATACATCTGGGTTTAGGAACTTTGAGAACAGATCTAACTTTAGTTGGATAAAAGTTACCTGTAGGCATGCATCCCCTTTGTCAGTCCTGCACTATGCTTTTCATAAATTGACGTACAAGAAACACCTTCATCCAGTCCCCTAAATAAATCCAAAGTTTTTACTTTAAACAAAGTTTTAAAAATCCAAATATCTTAATGCCTCATTTCTCTATATGCCTGATTTTAGAAATGTAACTTCCTTACAAACTTCTTAGAAACTCATAATAAAAATTTAGAAAGAATGAATGAGAATTTTAAAATCTCAGATTCTTAAGATAAACAGTAATGAATGGTCTAAGTCTCAAACATGACAACTAAGTTTCCAATGCATTCATGGTAAGATGGTTCTACATACTCAAGTGTAGGTAGTATCAATCTCCTATAAGGCTATGCCAGAGTTGTAAGAGTCAATAATTAAACTAACATTTTATGGTAAAACACAATTAACTCGACAACTCCAAACTAAAGACAAAAAAATTTTACTTCTTATCTACATAGTTTCTCCTTTACACTTTTAGCTTCACAAGAAAAAACTCTATTCATTTGCACCCGTCTCCACAAGGCAGCAGTCCTAATCCTTCCCTGAGCCATGGCAGACCGAGGTGAGAAGCACCGAATTCGTGAGTCACAGACAATGCCAGGCACCTCTAACCACCCTAACTGGGACCCAACTAACGCATCTGCCTTTCCGCCAAATGTCTTAAGCATTCTTATTTTAACTGATACTGGTTATAGAACTGTAAAACAGAATCTATACGTATTTCATTCCAATACTTTCTTACATTTTTCAGCTAGAAAAGCTAAGCTCTATGATTCATTACTACAAGTTTCTACGGCTTACAGAGACCACAACAAATATGTTTGATATTTTTTCCCACTGAAGTTGATGACTTGTTCAGAAGGGAGCAAGGACCAGGAACAAATTTTTCAACAAAATGACAGCCCATTAGCAATTTTCTTTAAAACAATGGTTCCCACTTAATCAGGAATTTAGAACTAGACATCTGAAAATGCCCAGGCCCATTCCAGAATATTCCAATTCTTCAGTGTGTCTGAAGAAAAATGAAGGCACTGCTATCTTAACAATTCATGACTCTTTTAACTGCTAGAATTAAGAACTCCATTGGCACTCTAAAGCTGACATATGAGTGATTATAACAATCACTTTAACAGCAGCAATAAAAATGGAATTCTTGAGAGGCAAAGCAGAAAGATCGCATGAGCCCAACAGTTAAGGGCTGGCCTGGGTAATATACTAAGACCCCATTTCTTGAAAAAAAAAAAAAAATTAATCCTAATTTGGTAATACTGCTTGAACTCTCTGCAAAAAGTTATAAAAGATTACTCCAATGTTCCTACCCAAAGGCTTTAGACATTCAATAATGTCTCATTCTTTATCCACACAGTAAATTAAATTATTTCTTGATTCTTCATACACCAGTACAATTAGATGGGACTGTCAAGAAATTAGGAAGCAGTAATTCAGATACTGAAAGTTAAAACACAGGGCCTGGGGGTGCAGTTCAGTGGTAGAGTACCTGCTTAGCATGCTAGAGGCCCTAGATTTGATCTCCAACACCACACACACAAAACCTATCTAAGTTAAAACAGACTATGTTTTCATGTCCAGGTAAAAAAGAACTCAGAATCAGGATTTTTGCATCATACAGCTTGTAACTTTTAAGTAAATTTTGCCAGGGTACAATTTGTAGATAGTATTTATTTTTAGATGGTCATATTAGTCTTCACATAATGGTGGTTTTTAATGAACAAATGAATAAAAATTGTACAATAAAACCTCTTCAATTTTATGTAACACTAGAATGGATTCTTTTCTACCTACATTTTCAGAATATAGTCCAAGAAAAAGAAAGATACTTACTTTAAGAAATCAAAATTGTGAATGGTATCATCCCAGAAATACTTTACACTATGGTGGGTGAAATAACGCATCTGTAGAACATACAAAAATGTTACATCAAAGCGCTTATCACCACTTGGTTTAGCATGTAATCTACTTACTCTAACAAGTAAACTTGTGTTTAGTAATAGTACTACACACATAAATTTACCTCAAGCAATAACTGCAACAAAATTATAAAACTTAGGATGGCAGAAAATGTTAACAATTCTGTTTTTTAGACACTTTGACACTAGAGTAAATACCTGCTGTGAATGAGTCTGTGAGTGTTTACTCAGCTCATGCTGATTCTCTCCAGCTGTATTCTCAGTTAAATGAACTGCATGGCCATTGCAAACCTTATTAACTATGGACTTTGGATTCGAAAATGAGTGACTCTCCAAAGAAAGCAAGCGAATTTTTGCACAAAACCACATTCTGAATTCATCCTTAAAAGACAGAGAGAGAAGAGTCAATTAAGTATATAACTAGCTATATTTTTAATTTCCATTCTTTACATACTCATCTCTAATGGAGAAAGCATCATTCCCTACTCACTAAATGTTAAACAAGAACAAACTCAAGAAGTACTTCCCATTTAACCAATACAAACAATATAATCCATAAAAGATCATGAGGCTTGGCGTGTTGGTGCACACCTGTAATCCCAGCACTCGGAAGGCCGAGCAGGAGGATCACCATGAGTTCAAAGCCAGCCTGAACTACTACATGGTGAAAGCCTGTCTCAAACAAAACAAAACAAAACAAAACAAAAAATCATGAATAATTCCTTCATTTGCTATCTATATGCTAAGAGCAGATACAAAAATCTCATAAAATGTTTGCAATTAGGACTTCAAAAAAAGTCTTAGAAGGATAAAGATGTGATGTGTATATACCAATGAATTTTATTATATATTGCAAGTATATTTTATTAATACTAATAAAAATTTGTTTAAGATGCTAAGAAAAAAAATAGTCTTAGATATGGCAGCACCACATAGTAGACACACAGGTGGCCTGGCCAGTGACAGGTCTGAACTTAAGGGATTGGGAGCCATACAAGGAAGGCCCACCCATCTCCAAGATCCCTGTGATTTCCACCACTATAGTAACTATCAAGTCAAACACAGACACCTGGAGACACTAGAATCAACACTCATTACATCCGGGCAGTGCGTGCTGTTCACTTAGTGTTCACTTAGTATTCTGAACAAAGTGTACACAAAAGCATTTCACTCGGGGAATAATCCAGCTCCAAGAACACACAGACGTACAGTTGTCCTCAGCAGCACCACTTCGCAGTCCTTGACCGCAGCTCTGACACAGGTCGCTTTCACACGCCACTCTGGCATCCAGTAGAGGAGGAGGAGCAGGAACCCGCCAGTGCAGATCACACCCACAGACACAATGGCGAGCTTCCAGCGACATAAGTTATAGCCATAAACCTCCTGCCAAGACACGGTCACCACAGGGTTAGTCAGTGCAGCACACACAGATAAACTCAGAACATGTTTCCAAGATGGGTTGCAGAAGCTGTAAATGTCTTCTCAATCTATAATTAACCTTTACATTTTGTTTCGGACAAGACTGTGGTCAAAACTATATTTTTAAGTAGTTATATTTGTTGGTATTTATATTTATGATTTTATACTGGATATTTTTACTAAGTATCTTTCCTGACACAGTATGCTCACATTTATTTTTTTCCCACTGACACGATATTTTCAGTTTATCTTCTTATAATATTTCTAATTTCATTCTTATATACTGTACCTTTTAAATTCTTCCAGAATTTACACTGTCATGAGGCAGGTTTCAGTAAACTATTTTAGAATAAATTCAAATTTATAGAAAAGCTACAGAAATATTAGAGTTCCTGGACACCCTGCGTTCAGTTTCCTCTATTGGGAGCCTCTTGGTACATCTGTTAAAACCAAAAGGTCAACATTGCTGCATTGCTATTAGTTAAACTCGGCGTTAGGATTTCACCAGTTTTTTCACTAACATCTTATTTCTGTTGCAAGACACAATCCAGAATTTAACACTGCATTTACATAGGATAGGTTTTTAATTTATTTTTGTCCAAGTGATTTACTAATTGTCCCAATACCACTAAAATTGACCGCTTTGCCCACACAAGCCAAATGAAAAGTTCCCATCACCTCACCAGATATACAAGACAAATGCCTCATTAAATTTACATTTCAAATAAGCAATGAATAACTTGTCTGCACAGGATGAGGGAAACTACTCCCCCCAAAAAACTATAATGAAAGTTTTTCACACTCCCTGGCTAAATTATGCAAGCTGGTTACCATTTCATCTTCTTGACCTTGGTTGATAGTCTTCTTTTCTTCTTTGTCCATATCTGCAGTGGTTTGGAAGGTCTTGTCCTTCACAACAGCTGAAGATAACTGAAGAAAGAAAGAAATGGGTAACAGTGAATCATTTTAAATCCTGTCAACTGACTATTACACAAAGTGTTCTAAAGTATTCTGATTAAATCTGATTTCCTCTGAAGCAACGAACACCTGCTGATGGCACAGCTTTTATGGTATATGTATCAAAGTTCAAGTGGTATTTCTTGTTTTGTTTGTTTTCTTGTTTGATACCAGAGATCGAACTCAGGACCTTGTGCTTCCAAGTCAGGCACTGTGCCACTGAGCTAAATCCCCAGCCCTTCAACTGGTATTTTAAATAGTAATCAAAGTGCTAGCTGGTTCTTTTTCTTTCTTTTTTTTTTTTTTTGGTACCGGGAATTGAACAGGGGACCTTGCGGTTTCGAGACAGGCACCAAGTGCTAGCTGGTTCTAAGGACAGTTTCAATGGCATGACAATTCCTGAACCTGCATTACTACCATGAAACTCAGATTACATTAACTTCTACCAGCAGCGGCCTTGAACAACTTAAATTATCAGAGGGGCTAGTATAAAAGCATGTGTTTTTATTCCCCAGATTCAGAGAAGAGCCTAGTTCAACCACCTTGAGCTATAATATATCATACAACTCTTCCTGTGTACTGGAAGTGAAATCAGCCCAAAAGCCTCTCAGAGATTATTAAATTCATTATCCAACAAATACTTACTGAGCATTGTTCAACACCGGCAATCCATGGCCACAACTCAAGTCGCTAGAGCACGTATGCTCCCACTGGAGAGCACAAAACTGACCCCAGCTACCTCCAAGTCCACAAGGCACCTTTCCAACTGTTTCAGACTACATACGAAGCTTGTCAAGGGAGAAAACTCACTGAGCCCACTGACATAGTTTTCCTTTTTTGGGGGCAGGGGGGGACAGGGTTTTGCTCTGTAGTTCAGGCTGGACTTGAACTCGAACTAGTGGCAATCCTGCTGCCTCAGCCTCCTGAGTGCTGAGATTATAGGCATGAGCCACTACACCCAGCTCCCTTTTATTCTGTATGTCAAATACTAGACGTCTGGCTATACAATAAATAGATTTGCAAAATGACACTTTTACTAATTATTTTTTTATAAAATAGGTATTTTCTTTCAGATGATGCTACTCCTGGGAATGAAGCTACGAGATGGTCAAAAAAGATGATTCATGACAGTGCAGTGTCACTTTCACCTCTGATGTTAACAGCACCTACCAAAAACGTGATGTAAGATAGAACTAAAATACTGAAATGATAAACAGAAAAGAAGTGGTGAAAAATGTATAAATTTATATCCTTTCTTTTTAAAAAAAACTTTTTTGAGCCAGGGTCTTGCCATGTTGCCCAGGCAATCCTCGAACTCCTGGGTTCAGGTGATGTTCTTGCCTCAGCCTCTGGGCCACTGCACCTGGCCTTGTATCTTATTTTCTTCAAGAAATATTTCCAGATTCTTTTGTGTAATTCTCTCATTCAGTCATTAAAGCTACTGCTTTACTGTACTGCACTTCTACTTTAAAATATTTCACTATATTGGGCTGGGGATTTAGCTCAATGCTTCAGCCTCCTGCTTCTCAAGCACAAGGTCCCGAGTTCGAACCCTGGTACCAAAAAGAAAATTTGTTTTCACTATATTCCCGAATAACTAATTGGTCATATTTAAAACGTTTGCATAAACTCTGTACCTCCTCTAAAAACTATTACGCTCAGTTCCCAAATGAACTTTGTGTGCTGTCAAATGCCTAGATAAGAGATTGATGATACTGTATAAAGTACTTTTTAAAATGGTAAACTGGAAAAAAAAAAATAGGTATTTTCAGGGAAATGTTCCTCAACATGTAGTAAGTTTATTAGTTTGTCTGACTGATTTAATAATCTCTTGTTTTCAAAGAAAGGAAGGTGAAGCGCTTAGGACTTGCACTGCAATGACACTTCAGAGTAGATTGCACTGCCAGGCCAGCTGGGGAAATCCAGTTTGCAAAGCATGGAGGCTGCTAGGGCAGCTGTGGGGCTCAGTCTCTTCTAGAATCAGAAGTGGCTGAAAGCAAATAAAGCTCAATTTCTCCAAGTTTTTCACAATACCAAGAAACCTTGATTCAATCAATACATATTTCCATTTAACCCACCAGCAATCCTCTACCCAGCGTTGAACAAGATGCTACTGTTTTTGTAATCAATGATTGGTAGATAAGCTACACTAATTACAGCCAGTGTTCTGTGTCCACTAGTTCAATCAACCATGAGCCAAAAGAAAGTTAACATTTGTAATGAATATGTACAGACTTTTATTTTGATCATTATTCCCTTAAAATATAGTATAAAAAAGAAAAAACATGGAAACAAAGTCTTTGTAAATAGGGAAGGGTGGAGGGGGTGAAGGGAGAGCAAGGGAATGGGGAAAAAATGGGAACCAAGATACATCACGTAAAGGTACAAGATCCCAATGATGAATGTAACTGTACTGTATATCTAAAACGTACCAATAAACTAAATGGAAAAAAAAATACAGTGTAACAACTATTTACATAGCATTTGTGTTGTAAGTAATCCAGAAGTCATTTAAAGTATATGGGAAGATATACACTAGGTTAAATGCAAATACTACACCATTTTAAAAAAGGGACTTAAATATCCTCCAATTCTGGTTATCTGACACGAGTCCTAGAAGCTATCTCCCAGATATCAAAGAACAACCATGCCTAAAATATCAATACTAACCAATAATACGGCACCAGTATATATAAAATCCACACAAGCAAATGCTCTTTAGCATCCACAGAAATTTTAAAGAGCATTAAAGATCTAGATCCCAAAAGCTTTAGAGTCACTGCATTGGCTGATGTTACGGTTTGCATCTAAGCAAGCTACCCCCCAAAGCCTCATGTGCTTACAGGTGGGGCTTTTGGGAGTGACTGGATCATGGGTGTGTGATACTGGATTAGTCTACTGATTGGCTTAGCCTAGTTCTGAGTGTGGATGGTGGATTTAGTGAAGACAGACCCACCCTGGGTGTAGGTGACACCAACTAATAGGATTGTAGCCTAGATGGAATAAAAAGGGAAAGGAAGGAGGCTCAGTTTCCTGCCTACCACACCATGAACTGTTTCTCCTCTGCCATGCTGCTCTGCCCTGGAATGAAACCTCTACAAACTGTGAGCCAAAATAAACTTTTCCTCCTTTAACTTTGGGTGTCAGGTATTTTGTCCCAGCAATGAAGTAAGACAGGCAGACCTCCACAGAACATAGCTACCTTCTTCATTTCAGATCCTGTACTCCTGCTCATTTATCCAGTGTACAGTGGTGTGACTTGATAGGCACTCAAAAAACTTGCTCAATACATTAACTAATATACACACTGTTGCTAAGACAGCAGTAGCTATTTTTATGTAATAAGTGCAAAGCCAAAGAGCCAAATGCAGGATTTTAAACTAATCTCATACACAAGACTACTGAAATCTCTTGATGTTTTACCATCAACCATATAACCACTAAAAATAATGGACTCAGTGTCACTATGGAACAGCAGAAATTTTTTTTTTTTTTTTTTTGGTACCAGGGATCAAACTCGGGTCCTTGCGCTTACACAGCAGGCAGCGAAACCACTGAGCTAAATCCCCAGCCCAGAACAGCAGAAATTTTAAGGTTAGCCCGTCCAACTTCTCCAAAACAAGCCACATTACCATGCAATGTAGTATCAATTTTTTCTCAGTCTAGGGCAGTGTTTGGGCCCTAAAGCACACTCCAAGAGTTGTTCCACTGTAGTAATAATGACCCAGAAAATCAATATAAATTGAAGTGGCAGTTAGTCAAGAATTACACCTGCTGCCACTGCAGTAAACCATGGAAAAATGCATGAAGCTCCACCTCTTCCCATGTGAAAAAGATCAGCAGGTGCTGCCTGAGTATGTAGAGTGCACAATCCAACTGTGCCCATGCTCACCTAAAAGGTAAGGCAGTGGCCCTGCGCCCCACACCAACCCCAGAAAGAAGTGCATGAGGCGAAGGCCCATAACCTTTATTGATTCTTCCTTGGGCTCTGAAACGAACCCCAGGATTATGACTCTGGGCTCACTGAAGTCATCCAATTGTTATCTTCCTTTCCACCATCTATATGCTTCCTGGGGATAGAGATTACTTCAAATTTTTATATGAAGAGATTTGTACTCCCAACCAACATGGAGTAAAGAGGGATCAGATCTGCCACCTTCCTCAAACCACCTCAAACAGGCAAAATACATTGTGGTTTTCAAGGAACTGGATAGTGAGTAGTGAAGGAAAGTGCCAACAGAGTTATGAAGCAAACTAGACAAGTTCACAGTTTTTCCAGTTCAGTGCCTAAAAGGCGTTTGCCTGCAAGGGGTAAGGGGAGGGGCTCCAGGGGAAGCCAGCTCTCCCCCCAAGCGGAGACAAAGCTGGGAGTGCAGGGAGGCATCGAAGCAAGGTGTCTGAGGCCAGTGCACCAAGAGATGTGTACAGATCCACAATTGCACGGCGGCCCCCTCGGGTATTCAGCTAAATCCTGACCAGCAGCAGCAAGAAATGATCACGGGCCAGGAAACACCACCCAAAATGATTAAAGGGGACACACGCAAGGTTCACAGAGGGCTGGGGTAGTGCCAATCCCACCAACCAGAGCCCCGTTTGTCACAAGGAATCGAGAATACTTAGAAGGCTTCAGTAGGGGAATAAAACCAGCCCCAAACAAAAACTACTCTGATCCTGTCAAATAAAGCCAAAAGGGAGACCTGAAACCAAATTTTTAAAAAGAAAACACTGAAAGTCATTTTCAACTCACAGAACAAAGTCTGAAACATTTACTATAATACAAAGTACCTAATACCCAATAACTGAGGGTGTCTAGCATCTAATTAAAACATAACAGGCATGCAAAAAGCAAGAAAATACAACCCAGAATGAGAAACTGAAATAGAAAATGAGACTGACACAGATAATAGAACTGGTAAAGAAGCATGTTAGAACAGCTACTCTAACTGTATTACACATGCTCAAAAAGCAAGATTGCATGTTAAATGGAAACCTAAAAGATATCAAATTTAAAATAAAAAGTTCAATTTTCAGAAATGGAAAATACCTCAGATGAGATTAACACAAGAAGATACTGCAGAATAAAATTAATGACCTTGAAGACACAGTTGTAAAAACTATGCAAAAAGAAAGTGAGCTAGGGATGGAGCTCAGTGGTAGAGCACTCTTGGGTTCAATCTTCAGTACCCCCAAAATAATGATGTTAAAATCCTGAAAAAGGGGCCAGGGATTTAGCTCAGTGGTTCCACTACCTGCTGCGCAAGCGCAAGGACCCAAGTTCAATCCCCTGTACCAAAAAAAAAAAAAAATCTGAAAACAGGGCCAGGGATTTAGCTCAGTGGCACGATGCCTACCTTGCAACCACAAGGTCCTCAGTTCAATCCCAAGTGCCAAAAAAACAAACTTGAAAACAGCTGGGCAGGGTGGCAACCTCCTGTAATCCTAGCACTTAGAAGGCAGAGACAGGAGGATGGAGCCAAGTTAGGTCAATGTGGGCCACATAGTGAGTTCAAGGCCAGCCTGGACTATAAACCATGCCCCTGTCTCCACCAAATGCATGAGGCCCTGAGTCTGATCTCCAGTATGGCAGAAAAGGGAAGGAAATAAAATGTCAGCAAGGAATGTCATCAAACTTATCCTAAGAAGTCATTAAAAAAATCCTAAATTCAACTAGAAATTAAAACAGACATCCTAACAAAATAAGAGACTAAGAGTGACAGAGTTCTTGCCAAAAGAATGCAAAAGAAAAGATGTAGTAGCAACATCTTTGAAGACCCAAGAGAAAGAAACTACTGAGAGAACTCTACACCCTGCAAAACTGCCTCCTAATACTGAATAAAGATTTTTCAAGCACAAAAGCTGGGGGATGGGCAGTTAGCAGCAGCAGACCTACTGTAAGCTACAAGAAAAAAAGTTAAAGGAAATCCTTCATAGAAGGAAAAAAATAATACCAAATGAAAATATGGAGTCCACAAAGGAATGAAGAACACCAGAAATAGGAGTAAATATAAATGAAAACAATAGCACGCATACACAAAACAGGGAGCCAGGTGTGGTGGTGCACACCTGTAGTCCCAACACTCAGGAAGCTGAGGCAGGAGAACTGTATTGAGTGAGGCCACCCTGGACTACATAGCAAGATCCAGTCTCAAAAAACAGGGAGGAACAAGCATACTGTTGCAAAACTCTTACAGAACAATTGAACGGGATTAATATCACTTAAAAGTAGATTAGTAAATTAAAAGATGTACACTTTAAACTGGGCATTAAAATCAGACCTATAGCTACAAAACTAATACAGGTGATCAAATGGAACCATAAAGAAATCCCCAATTAGCCTAGTATGGGGGGAGGGGAGAGAAGAGAGTAGGGGGGAGAGGGAGAGAGAGACTGATTTAACTGACCAAAAGAAAAAAGAAAGAGGTGAGACAAAGAAGTAAAAAGTAACAAGCTGACTGGCTGACTGGCTGAAACCTAACAGCATCGCTAGCACCTCAGATATAAATGATCTACACACAGCAGTGAAGCTGGGTGTGGTGGTGCACACTTGTGACACTAGCACTCAGGAGATGGAGGACAGAGGGTGGTTCAAGACCAGCCGGGATGACAGGGGTCTTGTCTAAAAACAAAGCAAAACAAAAAACCTTCAAAGGCAGAGACTATGACTGCATTTTCAAAATATACAACCTGACTGCATGCTGCCTGCCAGGGACCAATTTTCCTCAATTCCTTGGGGATGAGGGGGTTGCTGAGGATTGAATCCAGGGCCTTTATACTGAGCTATGACCCCACCAGTTTTTGTTTAATTTTAAGGCAGGGCATTGTTAAGTCTCTAAACTGCCCTGGCTGGGCTTGAACTTAGGATCCTCCTGCCTCTGCCACCCAGAGTGCTGGGATAATAGGCATGGGGCATCATAGAGGCTCCAGAAATTCATTTTAAATATCAAGGGACAACAAGGCTAAAAGTCAGAAGAAGGAAAAGGTGTCGTGAAAACACTTTTCAAGGGCCAGGGATGTAGTTCAGTGGCGCTGAACCTGCCTGGCACGCACAAGGTCCTGAGCTCTATTCCCAGTGCTGAAAAAATAAAAATAAAAACACTATTCAAAATAAAACTGGAGAAAGTATAAAGTCATTTCAAAATGACAAGAGGGTCACTTCATGAAGATAAAATAACAACCCCAAACATGTATGCACTTAAGACCTTCAACATATGAAGCAAAAAACAAAACAAAACAAAAACATCACATGAAAATGAAAGGAGACAGAAATTCACAATTATCAGAGACTTCTGTTTACTAATCCTCTCAAAAATTAACAGACAAGTAGATTACAAAAGCAGAAGACCTGAAGAACACTAAATCAAGTGGACCTGGTGCATACAGAACACTCCACACAACCTCAGGACAGACGTTCTCTCAACGTGCATAAAAAGCAGTCACCAAAACCTGGCATGTAATTCCACCACTCAGAAAGCTGAGGCAGGAAGATAGCAAATCCCAGGCCAGCCTGGGCTATACAGTGAGCTCAAGGCCAGCCTGGACTACATAGTGAGAGCCTGTCTCAAAAAAACAAAAAAAAAAAACCCCAACAGCAACCAAACAAACCCTACAAAACTATGAAGTCATAAAAACAAAGTTCTTAACATGATGGAATTAAATTAGATACAGTTAACAGAAATACAAGGAGAAAATCCCTAAATATTTGGAAATAAGATATACTTCTAAAATCTATGGATTAAAGAAATTAAAGTAGGAAACTGAACTAAAATGAAGATGCAACACACAAAAACTGCATGGGAAGCCGCCAAGAGGTCACTCAGAGAAAGCCCACAGCAGCCATCCAGCTCTGCAGAGAAAGAGCAGCACACTCTCAGCTTCCAGAGCAAACACCAGGGAAACAGAACTATTAAAGGGAAAGAGGATCCAGAGCCGGGGATTTAGCTCAGTGGTTCCACCGCCTGCCTCACAAGCACAAGGTCCTGAGTTCGATCCCCGGCACCAAAAAAAAAAAAAAGAAAAAGAAAAGAAATAAAGGGAAAGAGGATCCAAGAAGAAACTGATGAAACAAAAAGAAGAAAAAAGCCAACAAAACCATAAACTGGTTCTCCAAGAGTGAAAAATCGCTAGCCAGACACATCACGAAGAGCTCAGGGGGGAAAGATGTAAATTAGTAACAGGAGAGTGAGAAGGGAGACTTCACATAGATCCTACAGGGTCAGGAGGGTAACAAAGGAAATTAATAACACCCCACACACCAGCTTTTCTGCAGGTCTGAAGTTCTCCCACATAAAAACTTTTTAATTGAAAAAAAAACCCCGCATCGTCACTTCTGGGGGGTGGGGGGCAGCCATAAGCTGCTAACTGCTGACAGAGTTAAAGCTGAGTGAGGAGGCACACAACTCATTACACCAACCTTTCTGCATTTTAACACACGGCAACTGTCCACATGGAGAGCAGTTCTGTAACTGAGAGCCACCATCTGAAGCTTTCAGAGAGGACATTTTCAGAAGACACTCATTCCTGGCACAAAAGGCCATAAATCTTGAGGACCCATTGCTCTTATGCCACCCCCCACCCCCCAGTACTGGGTACTGGACCCAGGGCTTCCCAGTGAACTACCTCCCAAGGCCTTCTTTTGTTTTTGATTTTTTGTTGGTACCGGGGATCAAACTCAGATCCTTGCACTTGTGAGGCAGGTGGCGGAACCACTGAGCTAAATCCCCGGCCCATCCAAGCCCTTCTTTTAAAGGCAGGGTCTCATTAAGTCGCTAAATTGTCCAGGTTGGGCTTGAACGTGCCATCTCCTGCCTCAGCCTTCCAGAGTGCTGGGATTATAGACGTGCATCACCCACCCGGCTCCCAGAGACTCAGTTCACTAACTTTTGTTGCTGGCTCTTGAGTCTGGTTCTTTGCCATCTCTTACCCATTGCCTACAAGTATAAATGCACTCCCCATCTCTGTAAATCGTAACTGCTCAATGCAGAATTATTAACAGATAACCAAGCATGCGTTTTAAAGTTTTAGAAAAGGAGTTGCTACTAAAATTCAATATTTTCATTTAGGCCATGTACTTAATAATTAAAAATTTTCTTTAAAATTTCTTGAACAAGTTCTCCTTAGCTCCACATAACTACAATCCCATCCCATGTACTACACTTAAAATACTTAGCAAGTAAGACTCCAGTTACTTTTTTTTTTTTTTAGTACCATGGATCGAACCTGGGTCCTTGCGCTTGCAGGGCAGGCGGCGGAACCACTGAGCTAAGTCCCCGGCCCAGACTCCAGTTACTTTTAAATGAGCTATCAGATAGATAGTCTACTGTCTATAAATTATTTTTGTTCTTTTCTAAATTACTGATCATGTTATGTTAGCCTTTTTACAACTGTTTATTCTCAATTTAGTTGTTTTTAAATGTCTTAATTGTTAAATCTTACCAAATTTTAAGAAAAAAATGCTACAAAAAGTTTCTCTAAAAACCAATTATTATTCACTTTAAACACATTATACTTCTAATAGGATATTACCTAGAATTCACCCTTCACATAAACTTTTAGAAAACTCCAACAAGACAAATGCAAATAGTGCTTACATTTAAAACATGAATAATGTAAAGGTAATATTTAAATTTTTAAAACACACATAAAAGAAAGCCTTTAGCATTATTTCAATAATTCCATAAGGATAAAGAACTATATAAAAATATCTTAGATGCACTGCCTAGGCCTAGCAAGATTCTTGTTAAATACCTACCATATATAACATTAAAACAATTGAGGCATTAACAGCAAACTTCTAAAACTTGACAGAAGAATATAGTAACTCTGGTGGTTTGCTGGAGTACATATTTTTAAATCAATTTCTATATCACAGAAAATAAAGAAAATTTCTTACCCACAGCACTTAATATTCTTCCTCTCAACTGCTAATCTTAACCGGTTTTTGAAAGTTGGCTCTTAATAAGAATAAAAATAAAAGTAAGCACAAAAATCCATTCCGAGATGACAATTTTATGCCAAACAGTTCTGACTGGTTCTGTTTTAACTGTATTCAAATGATTAAGACACAAAATTAGTATTTTAGGATGCACCAATTTTCAGGAGGTGCAGAGGACATCCATGCTCTGCCGCCCCACTGCTGCTCCCCAGAGCCCGAGTGTGAATGACTGGCCTCTCGCTAGCTCACTGAATTCCAATTCCACAGTGCAGGCCAAGCCTTGATGTTATCTAGGAAGCAAGGAGCTCAAGGGCCATTGTGCTTAGCCAAACCCTTCCTTAAAATTACAATGAACCAGAATCACTGCCCCTGAATAAAAAAGCAGTGCTGGACAATATGAAGCTATCGGGAGCAGATGCCACTCCAACACATGCAATGCTTGTGTTTGGAAATTTACTTCTTCCTTCCAGGTCAGGCACTAAGAACAATTTTAAGTGCAGTTTTCAGCCTTGGCTAAAGATCTGTCAGATCCCATTCCCTAAGTGAGCTGGCACAGCAGTCCCCAAACCACGCATCTGTCTCCCTCCTGAGCTTCTTGTGCACTTCTCTAACAGTTAACTGCAGAGTTCAGGTTTTATAAAAAAGAAAAAAATCTATGTGTTGCCTAGAGTTCCTAAGTAGTTAACTTCGCAAGGCAATTTAGAAAAATGATCTGCAGCTCACATAAAACTTCAAGCAAAGCAATTTTGAATGATACATTATTTAATGCTTTACTTCAGTCTATTTGCCATCTCTAGCCAGATTGAAATAAAAAAGGAAAAATTACAAGTTCACAAAACTAAGTACTAAAGAAATTAGAGCAATTACATTTTCCAATGGATCTTTTACACTTGTAACACACACACTTCAGGAATTTTTAAATTTAAAACTACCTAGACTTTTGGGATAACTTTGTATTGTTCAATGACAGAAGGAATCATCCCAGTTTGTTTTATAGTTCTAGATAGCATTTTGTCATGAATTAGCCATACCTACCACTGTTAAATAAAAATTTGATGAACTCATTTTTAGAGGCCATACAAAGAAGTGGGGTTGGTGCACATCTATAATCTTAGCACTCTGGGAGGCTGAGGGAGGAGGATCACAAGTTCAAACTCAGCCTGGGAAATTTAGGGAGACCGACCTCAAAATTAAAAATTAAAAAAAAAAAATAGGGCTGGGGATTTAGCTCAGTGGTTCTGGTGCCTGCCTCACAAGCACAAGTTCCCGAGTTCGATCCCCAGTAC